ACGGGAATCAATGGTGTGGCCCATTCACTATATTCAATCAAAATAATAATTCTATTATTCACCCAGTTGTTCAATTCGTCTTCTATTTCCTTTTTCTATTCAAAAGCTCTGTAACATGCCAAAAAAATTGGTGAAAAAAGCTTAACATCTACTTGATAATAATTAAGTCGTTCTAATTTTTCTTCAAAAATTATACCATATATTTTAACCAAAATCGGTTAGTAACTTTATTTATATTAATTTCAAAATATCATTTGACCTTTATCAGATGCCGTATTTATTTTTGAGCTACTCTGCTCTATCATCACTTTTTCAAGATACTCTAAAATATGATTATTAATGACAGGACTCTGTCCTTCTTTCAATAAATTAAATATTTCTCTATCCGCAATTATTTTCCTTTCGGCATTATCAGCGAAAAATCCCAATAATTATAACGAGGTCAGATCTTAGTAATCCAATACCACCCTATAATGGTTTCTACATTTTTTCCCACCACCCATAAATCCAAACGTATAGCAGTATCGCTGAAAACAGCATCCCATTTGGTTTTGCCCAAAACTTTAATTTTGGAGCCATTAAATTGTTTAACCCACATATAATGCCCTGCAGCCATTATTTGTAAAGATTTCTCCAGACATTATAGAAATTCTAGAACTCGTATCAAACATCATGTCAATGTACATATTTAACCCACATATAATGCCCTGCAGCCATTATTTGTAAAGATTTCTCCAGACATTATAGAAATTCTAGAACTCGTATCAAACATCATGTCAATGTACATATGGTCAACCCTTAATTTAACTCTAGGACAAGGACATTGTTCATTCATTCTTTCAATCACTAAAATTTTATGTTTTAATTGGCTGATTGCTACTTATTCTATCAGAAATACTAATTTCATTAGAATCTAAATTCATGCAAAAATGAATTTAGATTCCAACAGTGGGAGTGGAGGCTTGATGCAAGATTGTCGTTAAAATTAAAATAAGTAGGTAGTTATGACGACTCTATCATCACTTGAAAAATTAAAATGATCATTGGCTTGGGTGATGTAGAAACCTCTGGCAATCTAGTTATCAATTTACTATCATTCATTGATACGGTATTTAACATAATTTAAAATAAGGCTGTTCCGATCCCCAAATTTTTATCTATTCAATTCCATCCGATATTTCCCGGTATTACCATAAAACCGACCAGATAACTGGCACCAATCCAATATTTATATTGATTTTATAACAACTACCATCTATCATTAAACCAGTGTCATAAAAAAAATTATTGTTTTCTAATAAAATACTAACTAATTTTCATTAAGGATTAAGTATATTTTGTTTTTTTCCTCTGTTAATCATCTTATTTGATATAGCAATGTTTATAGCGGAATGAAGTGTTGCTAAACGGTTTAATTTAGCCCATTTTTAAAAATTGCTAAATTATGAGTCAAAATATTACTAAGGCTTAGAAGTTTCACCAATACACATCGAAACAATTATCTGTGAAATAAATATGCAAATGTGGGTAAATTTATTTTGGTCAAAATCTTGAGTTAGCCGCTTTCAAAAAGATCTAAATAGAATCTAGCTGATTGTGACTCGTGAGATATGTTTAAACCTTTTTTTTATTGCAGATAATATATAATAAAAAATAATACCAAATATTTAACTACATTATCTTTTAAAATAATTAGATTTTTTTTAACTTTACAAATAAATTGAATTTTAGTTCCTTTTATTAATTTTAACATATTATAAAATAGATTATATTATATAATTATATTTTTTTTAAAATTAATTTTCTTTTCTAATAACCATAATTTTTAAATTAAAAATATATATAGAAATAAAATTAATATTAAAATTAACATATCAAATATAAAATAAAATAAAACAATATTATATAAAAACGGAGGTGGGACTACAAGTTCCCAAAAAACATGAATAATTATATTTTAAAATAGTGATTTGAAGGTTTTGTTTTAAAAAATAGAATTCTTTTGGTTTTGATGTAAGGGCTTTTGTCTTATCCCCTATATTTTTTAAAAACTTTAAAGTTCCGCTTGATATATTCAATCTTAAATTAACCAAAAACTATAATAAATATCGGATCGGTTTCTTGAAAAATATCTGACCAATTCTGATATTTTTAAAAAATTATAAATATAGGTCCCTATACTATATTTAATATCGGCATAGCCCTACTATTAAATTCTAAACTTAGAGTTAGAGCCCATTAAAAGAAGGAAGAATAAAAATATGGAAAAAACGAAAAAAGTGAATAGGAAAGAAAAAAATTAAAAAGAAAAAAGGGAAAAACAAGAAAAGAAATAACAGTGGGAAAAAAGAAAAAAAACAAGAAAAGAAAAAGAATAACAAGAAAAGAAATAAAAACAAGAAAAGAAAAAACAATAAAAGAAATAAAAACAAGAAAAGAAAAAACAATAAAAGAAACACGAAAAAAAGGAAAGAAAAAACAAGAAAAGGAATTTTAAAAAAAGGATTTTCTAGGAAAATTATTAATCAACAATTGCTATGTTTACAAAATGTCCAAAATTATATAGACATTATATGAGAAAGAGATAATGCCATTTATTAAACATCTTTGAAGATCTATAGACATTCTAGTGCTGTAACTATAATGCATAGCAAAAAAATCTACTTCTCATGGTCTAGGAACCCATTAATTGTATCTTCGGTCCTAGAAGCCGTTAAATATATTATATTTAACATTATTATAATCTTATTTAAATGATATTTTATTCAACATAAATTTAAGGATTCCAGATATATTCTAATTAATTACCAGCTGCTATACAATATTTCCCAAAATCAAAAGAATGTAAATTATAATACAAGTGAAAGGGTACAATTGGGCAAAAAACTTAGAAGGGTAGTCCAATTAAAAAAACACTATGGAAAGAAGTTTATATATTTATTTAGCTTGCCTTTCAAAGTTACTATCTGAAGATGCTGAGTTCAATGCAGAATTAAATTATCACACTATAAGTATTTTAACGTAGTTATTTCTTCAATGTTTGTAAAAAAAAGACTTATTATTAGCTTAAAAACTAAGACAAGTAACCTTTTAAGGAGTTAGAAATAGTGCTCTTCTATTCTATTTCTTATCTTCTCCTTCTTTTCTTTTCTCCATCTTTTCTTTTCTTCTCTTCTCTTTTCCTTTTTACCATTAAAACATTTTATAATCCATTTTTCAAAATACTTTCTTTCTTTCTTTATAATTATTTTTAAAAAAATAAAAAAAACTAAAAGCTAAACAAATTTACTATGATTTAATAAGAATTCTATCAATTTTTAAATAATATTTTAATATTGATATAATATAATATATAAAATAAAATATTGCCTGAATTTTTGCTTGCGTTTTAATATATATGTAATATGATATGTAATGAATAATATTTTAATATATATCATAAGGAGTTTTTAAAATAACCTTCCCCAGCATGCCCAAGATTGGAATTCCAATCATGCTCGACTCAATTATTTCGTTTTTAATTTTTTTTAACGGACAAGGGGACCTATTTTTAATATCAATTGTTCAATTCAATCTTATAAGAATACACAGAAATAGAAAATTATTTATTGGTGACTGATAATGTCATTAAATAGTAAGTGATATATTTGAATTATTTAATAGATATGTTAATAATGTTAAAAATAAAGTGCAACAGCTAGATTATTTTATAAGAAATGAAAGAATATTCATTATAATATGGCATCATTTCATTTGCTAAATTTAAAAGTTTTTTAATTTTTATTATTAATTATTGATAATTGAATGGCGGATCTTACATACAAAAAATCATAGAATTTAAAAGAATAAGAAAAAAAGATGTATTAAAAAATAAAAGAAATAATAGTAATATAAAATTTCTAATCTAAAACATTTTTTATGTTTCATTGATAGAGACATAATCTTAGAATGATATAAAAATTACATGAATTATCATTAAAGTATTACTAGTTAAATGGCTCATTTTGAACCGATTTTTAAAAATGGCTAACTCAACATTTTATTAGGAAAAAAATATTATTGAAAGCCTTAAGATTTTGCTCATAGGTGGCACAAAGGTTTGAACATCTATTAACGAAATCACGAGGCTTAGACCATATTTTTCTGACTAAAATATTGAGTTAGAGGTTTTTAAAAATCGGCTAAAATCGAACCGTTTAACAAAACCAAGTATTACACAAACAGGACAAAAAAAAGAAATTTACGAAAACTGCAAAAAAAACATTAACTCAAAAAACTGTATCTCAGGATAAATTTATAATCCATTAACTTCGGGTGTTGTTAAAAGAATAGATCCATTATCTATAATTGAACAAAAAGAATTTGTAAAAAATGATGGAAGATAAATGTAATTTTATAGGTTTATATTCTGTCAATTTATTACAAATATTATCTTGTATGGGATTATGAAAATTTCTCGAAGATCTAAGAAAAATTGATGAAGGCTTCAAATATGAAACTGATAATTTAAAACAGTTATTAAAAGCTCTGCAGATATTTTTTTTCTTCTACTATTTAAAGTTTAAAATTTTAGATACTTAAAAAAAAATAAGATACAAGTATCTTATCGAAATTTCAGCCTAGCATTTTAAGTATAAAATTTTAAAAAGCATCCAATTTTCTGAAAAATTTCCCAACCCTGAAATCAATCAATTAAAATGGATTTTTTAATATTACAAATAAATATTTTTTACTTGTCCATTTTCAGAGTTTGAAAAAAAATTCTTATATTATTATCATGAATGGAATTAAAGAAAAATTGATCTCATAAAGCGGATGTTAAAAATCGACTAGCAGTTAAATCTTATAAGATCTCACAACGAATCTAGGCTTAAATAATCATAAATATTGAAGTAAAAGTTCTCACTAATTAATACTATTAATTTATATTTTAAAAGCAAATAATTTTTTTTACTACTAACTCTTTAGAGTAAAATATAATAAATTCAGGAATACTCAAGTTTTATTATCGTTACACGAGTTATATTTACAAATATACATATCTTCATGTAAAAATACAGGAAACAGTTTTAAAGCTTCTATTCGTCAGCTGACTCTGGAATTATGTCGGCGAATTTGGACTTGATGACTTGCAAATTCTCAAATTTCCCATGTTTGACTTCAAAATCTACCATCCTTTTGTACACTAGACGTCTAGACTTCTTATCGAATTTTATGGTAGACATTTCCTCCAAAACTTGTCTAATTTTATTTTTTTGTAAATAATATATTATAATTTAGGCAATTTTAATTTTAAGGATTCAATGAATCGTTAATTGTAATTAAAAAATATATATGCTTGTAATACCAACCTAGCTTCTTGATGCCGAGAACGCTTGAGAAAAGCATCCAAATACCTGAACCAAATGTCAGTTCTTTTGGGATAATTTTGGAGGACTTTTTTGAAAATGGTTTTACTCCGTTCAGGGTGTCCATAATCAAATTCGAGTAGAGCGAATTTCACTATCATCTCAACATCTAATGAATTTTGTTAAACAGTTATTTTTAAAAATACTTAGAAAAACGAAGTTTTGAAAAAAATAAAGAAAATGAATCCCTACCACATCTAATTATAATTTAAATTGTTTATATTAAATACAGAACTTAAAATTTATACTTATAAAAAAAATTAGTATTAATTACAGTGTTGTGATGATTTGAAATATATTGACGATTAAATTTAGTGTTGTTAAACGGTTCTTTTGAGCCGATTTTTAAAAACGGCTAACTCAATATTTCACCCAGAAAAATATTACGTAAGCCTGAAGATTTTGCTCACAGGAGGAACAAAGGTCCAGACATATATTATCGAAATCTCGAGGCTTAAGCAATATTTTTTTGACTAAAATATTGAGTTAGCCGTTTTAAAAAATCGGCTCAAAACGAGAAAATTCTTTTATTCCTCCTTGTGTTATTTTAATTATTTTTTGCAAACAAAATATTTTTATATGAATTGGTTTTAATTTAATCGTCAACTTCTCCGTTTTATGGCGATTTCCAGGTTACCCAGGTAGGCCAGTTTTCTTTCTGATTTTTCTTTTCCATTTTTGACGGTCCTGAGCATCAATATTTGTAAGATTCATGCTTCTAATATCCGCCACTATCATATTTGCCCACGTCATCTTGGGTCTTCCTCTAGGTCTTGATCCTCCTACTTCCATCAAGGTGCATCTCTTTACCCAGTCATCTTTTGTCATACGTCCCAAACCATCTTAGTCTATTTCGTCGCATTACCACTCCAATCATTTCTATACCCAATATTGCTCGCAATTCCTTGCTAGTTTTTCTCTCTCTCAGAAAACCCCACACATCCATCTAATCATTCTCATCTCTGTTCTTTTTTGCTTCGTGAGTCGTTTTTATTGCTCATGTTTCTCCGCCATAAACTAAACAACTCCTCACACAGCTTACGTAAACTTTTCCCTTTAACTTCAGAGAGACTTTTTTATTTGTTAGAATAGACGCATCTCTCTGAACTTCTTCATGTTTCAATAAATCATCACAACACTGTAATTCAAACTATTTATTTAATTAAAATTATGTAAAATATCATTTTGTAAAAAAAACAAAAGTATTCAAAAATATTTTTTTACTAGTGTTATATTAATTCCTAAGATTTTAGGATGTAAGGGCTATTAGTTCAATTTATAAAACGTGGAATATATGGTTCCACTGGCAAAATTCAAATATCTAATACTTTAAAACAGGTTTATTTTTTTATTAAATTTAAAATTATATCAAATCTTTGGTATAGAAAAAATAATAAAAATAACAATATCCCCCCCCCCCCTAACTTTTTCCCTTCTTTTTAAGAGTTGTTAAAGTAGCGCGCTATTGGTAGCTATAGCTAATAGCGGCTACTTTTTTTGTAATTATTTAATTTTTTAGCGCGCTACTTTTTTTGAAAGTAGCTAAGCTACTTCTAAAAAATATAATGAAGGTAAGTATAAAAAGAAAATTAAATATAATATCATAATTAATTATAATTTTTATGATTTATTATTTAATTTTGAAATTAAAATATAATTTCAATTTGTAATTTATATTTTCATTTGTATTATAAACTTAAATCACGTGTTAATAATTTAAAATGTCATCGCATATGGATATCCAAATCGTTGAAAGTGATTCAGACAATGATATTAATGAAATGGAAGATACCAGGGAAGAAAATGTTCTTAATAGCTATAATACAAATTTCCCATTCCCTAGATTTGAAAATTTTTTAAAATAAATATATAACCAAAACTGGTTTCAAATTTATTTGTTTAAAATGTAAAAAAAAATATTTCCTCAAATCAATCCAGTAGCTATAACCTTAAGAAACACCTAAAGGCAAATTGTCATTTTTACATTCTAATAATATTTATTTTATAAGACTGTTCATGAGTTTTAAGGAAATGGAGAAACATCTAAATAATTTTGGTATAGGCGATTCTACATCCAAAAAGACTAATTCAATTCAAACCAAATTAATTAATAATGCAAAAGACAATATTTCTCAGAAATTGGCTGATAAAGTTATTGTTGATTTTATAATTTATACAGTTCAGCCAATGTCCTTAGTTGATAATCCATCATTTACCATGATGATTAAAAATCTATCCCCTGGTACAACAATTTTATGCCGCCAGACACTAATGAATAAAATAGCAGATAATTTTAAAATGATGATCAGAGATATCATATATATGTAAAACGGAAGATAGTTGAACACATAACAGAAGGTAAAAACTTATTTATATTTATAAATTGATCTGATTAAATATTTTTGAGTATTTGGGAATCACAGGCCACTGGCTATACCCGTGGCATTAGTCCTCAAAATGATAATAGGATGCCAGACATACGATGTACTACTTGCAAATAAAATTATAGACAATCTATCTTATATTAAAAATATGTATATAAGATTAAATACGCCCTTACCCTCAAGTGCTAGTGTCGAGAGATTATTTAATAAGACAAAACTTATACTTTCTGATGGTCGCTCTAGACTTGGGGATGATAATATTGAAATGATTTTATTATTAAAATGCAACAAATTACCATAAATATTTATTTTTATTACATAAATTTTTTTATAGTCAAAACTAACTATATTTTAATTTTTATAAATGTTAATTTTTATATATTTACAATACAATAACATTATAAGCAAAAAATAAAAAATTTGTTTGTAATTTTTTTTTATAAAAGTAGCTTAAAAAGTAGCTAAAGCTACTTTTAAAAAATAATAGCTAATAACGATCTATTTTTGCCAAATAGCGCTAGCGGTAGCGCGCTACTTTTAAAAGTAGCGTTTTACAACTCTGCTTTTTACACATCTCTTTTAAAAACAATAATAAACAAAAACTTTATTAATTTATCAAAATACATAACACTCTCAAAGATCAATCCTTATATCCCTCTCTCATATAATAAAAAACGGTATATTCAAGTTAATGGTTCCCTTATTTAAATGTTTGTCCTATCCTTCCAGTCCGTTTAGTTAAAATTTTACGAAAACTTTTTCAAAAATTTAAAAGAGTTTGACAAGAAAACCTTTTTCTGTAGATCGTAAAATTGAAAGCTTCATTTTTGATTTTCTATGCTTTAAAAATCCTATTATATTTATTTAGAAAATATTAGGAATTTTAAGGATAGATTTGATCAAAAATCTTGTTTGAGAATCCTTTTTTAATAAAAAATCTTGAGAGATCGAATTCCTTAAAGATTTTTTTATCTTTGAGCAAATGATAGAAAATATTTGTAATTTTATTTTTTTAAAAAATGTAAAAATTGTTTATTTTTATTATTTTTGTAAAATGTTTATTTTATTGTTTTGGCATTATTTTGTGAAAATTTACATATAAAATACAATAAAAAGTTAAATTTCTGGCTAAATTACTACTAATATATGTAAACGACAATAATACAAAAATATCTGTCGAAAATACTACAATATGAACTAAATATCACGTCAATAATAGTTTTAGTAAAATATAATGTTTTATAAATAACCTTTAGCCCAAATTTATTTGTAACATTTTATCTCTTTTATTAAAATATGTATTCTTTTTCATTTTCAAAACTTGGTTAACTTGATATATCTTCAAGATTAATTACAAATATAATTAATAATAATATTCTCTCTTTCAAAATCAATAAAATTGAATGGCGAAATAAGCAACAGGTTCATTTATCTGCATACAGAAACTTCAGAAACTTTATATTCCAGCCAATTACAACTTTTACCAACGGAGAACTTACTCCTATCAACTTCTGTTATTTTAAAAAAATTCATATCTGACAAAATTAAATTAAAAACACTATACAACTAAACACTTTTAAATACAACTATTGTTTCTAATTGCTATATTTTATATAATATTAATCAGTGTTTTTGTGAAATCCCATGAATAAATTGTCCGATCCTGGTCACGTGCTTATATTTGTAGATCTCTAGCAAGAGGCAAAAATCAAAAATTTAAGTCATGAGTAGCCTTAAAACACAAATAGTAAACGCAAATAAATAATGTGTATATATATAACTCACGATCTCTTTTATCCAAAATTTGGAAAGATCTTTCTAGCATTTGTCGGGCCAATTGAACTTTTTTGAGAACTTTCACGCAAAATTCAGTGTAAGAAGTCCAGATTTCGAGATCCTTAGCAAGGCTCTTAGCAGAGGCCTTCTTATGCTTGGCATTGGAATCTACTGTTAGAAGTAATATTCGTCTGTACGTTTCGTCTGCCTTCTGATAATTAATTAAAATGAGTATTATAACATAGAGTTTGGAAAAGGGAACAGAACTTGAAACAAAATCTAAAAGCGGAATCCTTTTTCTTAAAATTTTTTACAGGATTTACGCATCGTTTGAGCCCCATTTTAATTATTATAAACGAGGCTCAGGAGGTAGTAATGGGATGTGCTAAAAATAAAAATGGTAGTATCGGGCGATATCATTATTAGCATCGGTACACCTCGGATTTATGTAACAGATGTTGATTCATTCTTTATTACTCCCCAAAACCATAGATATTTATTTTAACTAATCTTTGTATAATTAATATTGATTAAAAAAAACCTGGATTAAATTATTTTGAACGTAAATCCTGACGAGAAGCATGTATATTTTTTTGGGTTCGTTAAACTTGAGAGCTTCTTGCAAAATACTTTGAAAAGCGTCCGCTTCCGGTCCAGCGGCCATTAGCTCGAGATTCAACATGGCCGTCCATATATTGAGTCTCTCCTGTTCTTCTCTGATTTTAAATAGGTACAACAAATTTCGAGTAAAAATTTCTAGAATAATTCACAAAATGGTGAGTAGGGACTATTACTATATATCAAATTCGACGATATGTCTATTGATAATATATCACAACTCTAAGAAATTTTTATAATTGAATAAATGTATTTAAAGTAGAAAGATATGGGTTACCCTGCATTCATACACAAGTTACAGAGTGACGGTTTCACTTATTAAAGGTGTACATGCATTGAAGTCACCTTAGTCAATGCCATTGGTTCTGTCATTAAAAGGCATTTTCAAATGCGGTCTTCAATGTGTGTATACATTTTTTATAATGTAATTTAATGAATGAACTGTCAATCTAGATTATTGTTAGTGTGATTCGTGCCAGGTATAGGTTCGATATCTGGCAGCTGGAGATTATCGGTGCATTTCTCATTGCGTGCAGGAAATTTAATAATTTTTTTTCTAAAATGAAACCTGAATGATATAGTTTCGAGGGCCCTTTTAGAGAGACTCCTAGCGTCCGATATCTGATTCAGTTTCACGAAAAATGCTATATAACGAGTCCACACAAGGGAATCGTTAGGGTGGGCGAGGAGAGATCTTTCGAAATTTTCTACGCTTTCGACATTTTTTTCGGGATCGTGTTGCGAGTCGCCACTTTGCAAAAGTTTTATGAATGCATCTACCTCGAGTTGTTCGTCCATTCGTTTTCGGGACCGTCTATAAAATATTTTAAGATACAAATAAAGAAAGATAGTTAATAATTTTAATTTTTTTTAAAAAAAAAATTTAATTAAGGATTATGGCTTCATTTGACCCGGTGTGTTTTAGCAAATTTTTCAAAACTCCAATAAATTAATTTTAAAAATGTCATATTTTTGCCGGGATCAATTCCGGCACGTATGGAGTTCCGGCCAAATAAGGTTTTTCAAAATTAAAATACGCACGATATATCTAAGTATTAAAAAAAAATTACTAAAGCTCCAATCTTAAACCTCCTTATGACACATATATATATATACATGTTAGCGTCAATGAGTTATTTTTTTCAATTTTAAATCATTTTTTTGAGCGTGTTTTTTTTAAATTTAAGATTTTGATTTTACCGGAAATGTATGCCGCCATGTTTGGAATACCTACCCTACGGATTTCAGATATTTTTCCATGAACTTTTTAAACTTAATAAAATTTAGATTAAATTTTCCCATATATTTTTTTATATTTACCAAAGTATAAAAATGTGGTATCTGTATCTGTATCTAGATAGATTTTTGATTAAATAATCTGTATCTAGATATTATTTTAGACGTTGTATCTGTATCTAGATCCATTTAAAAGGTATCTTTTAACAACTCTGTAAATTACAAATGACTCAAAGGTTAACGATTGTCTGCAATTCATAAGATAGGTATTCTAAACATGATGGAATATATTTCAAGTAATATCAGATTTTTATAAATTTAAAAAAAACGCGCTTCAAAAAAAATGATTTAAAATTGTAAAATTAATACATTGCCAGAAATAACACATTGACGCTAAACTAGTGTTGTTAAACGGCTCGTTTTGAGCCGATTTTTAAAAACGGCTAACTCAATCTTTTAGCCAGAAGAATATTGCTTAAGCCTCAAGATTTTGATAATATATGTCTAGACCTTTGTTCTTTCTATGAGCAAAATCTTCAGACATACGTAATATTTTTCTGGATGAAGTAGTGAGAGTCGTTTAACAACACTAACGCTAACATATATATTATTATATAAACAGGTCCGACAAAATTAAAAAGTACAGTTTTGATTTTAAGATGATTCAAATATGTAACTATTTTTGGATTTGATATTTTTTTTTCCTTCTAAATTATCAATTTTTGAAAAAAAATTTTCTTTAACAAATATTTTAGAATTCAAAATTTATTTTTTTTTAACTTTATGGCTCGTGTCCAAATATTTTTATAAAAAATATGAAATTTAAAAAATTTTAACGAAATTGTATGTTTAAAATTTTAATGTTTTCTAGAATTTTGTTTTGGACATGTTTTGATTTTATATTCGTGTTGTTAAAAACCCCGATTTGGGCCGATTTTAAAAAACGGCCTATTAAGATTATAACCAAAATATGTAAACCCGAAGATTTTGCTCATAGATAGACATTTTATATTTGCCATTAGAGATCTTCTGCAAAGTTAGGCCCGACCCGTACCCGGGTACGGTTAAAATAATCGGGTTCGGGCCGGGTCTAATATTTCGAAAAAAAATTCGGGCCGGGTCGAGTCGGACCTTGGAATTTTTTTTAAAATATATCTAAATTTATCAATTTTATATTGAATTTTTTATATTAAATAAAAATATTTGATTTTATTTATTGGGCCGGCAAAATTTTTTTTAAAAAAAATTTCGGGCCGGGCTGGGCTTGAAAAATTAGGCCCGATGCAGATCACTATTTGCCATATCTCGAGGCTTATATAATATTATTTTGGCCATAAATCTTATTCGGACCGTTTTTTTTAAAAAAAATGACACCCAAATCGGGCTTTTTAACCACAACACTTAAAAAAAAGGGATAATCATTTAATTTTAAAGAAATAAATACTTGCTAACGTGATCCGAAACCGCTTTACTCCCTTTAGACTCCTCTATATTTTCGAGCGAATCGCCATCTACAAGATCGAAGGGGCTGACATCTTCGTCATCTAACATGACTCCGTTTAATGGAGTGGCAGCAGTATCGGCCCACCAATCATATACATCGTTCGATTTGTCCTTTTTAACTATATTTTGTTTGAAATCGCTGTTTTTTAATTTAATAATCGCTTTCCTTTCCCTTAATTTTTTACTGGTAATATCTCGGACCGGGCGTGGATCAAAAAGCGAATCTTCGCAAGATGTCCTCAAGGATGTTTTATTCCTATCAACTTTTGTTTCGACTTCAACTGTAGTAACATTGTCCTCATTATGCGATGTTTTAACGTCGAAGTCGCCATTCGATGTTGATTCGCGAATAATTTCGGTTTTTTGTTCGTATTTAGCGATTTCTGATCTAACGCGATCATCATTCGCGGATTCACATTCGTGGTTCAATTTGACCTTCTTGTTCGCAACAACATTTTTCGATATTTTTGACATTTCGGCATTTTTAGGAATGATTTTGTCGATTTCATCAACGTTGACCATTGTATTATTAAGGGTTGCATTAACGCCGTCAGAATCTTTTAAAAAATGTCCACGAACGTATATAACTTTGTCCGCATTCGATATATCGCTGTCGGGGCCTCTAAAAATAAATAACATTTGAATAATTAAAATCTCCAATATTTTTTACAAAATTTTCAATGTGATCAGTAAAAAAATTTTATTTGTAATTTGACCAGTAAACTAATTCGGTTAGTAAAATATAATTAATAATGAAATTAGTTATTGATAGATGTCATTGAGTGTCCTAAAGAACAATGACTTTTTTAGCAAATTTTTCATAAGTATTGATGCTCAAAGAGTTATGGATCTGTTCCAATCATAAAATTTTCTCATATAGGGTAAAGTTAAAATATGATTTGACCAAACATAAATCGGGTGGTAAAAATTAGGCCGTAGATATAAATATTCCTTAAGGACTTAATACCTCTAAAAATCTAGGGGCTTCGTCCCCCCTCAGACCACCCGGTAAAGGGGTTGCAGTTTTGGCTGGCATTCTGCCAGGTTTATTTTTCAAATTTTGACAATATTAATGTTCATTTTAATTAAAATTACACAAGATTCGACATTTAATAAAGCTTAAATTTAATTTAACTAATAAAAGATAATTTCCCCCGGTATTAGAAATGTTGTAAATGTTAGATTTAATTTGCATAAAGATTTCTTTTGGATTTTGTTGTACTTTATATTTAATTTGCATAAAGATTTCTTTTGGATTTTGTTGTACTTTATATGTAATTTGCATAAAGAATTATCGAGGATTTATTGTTATAACGCGTGATAAAAAGATTATATTTGAATAGTTATGATTAGTTATAAGAAGATTGAAAAGAGTTTTGATGCACAATGACAATCTTGTCGTTGTGACAATGGTGTTGGAGAGCGGAGGAGACCGGCCCTTTACAACCTTCAGTCTAATGCAAATCACGCATTGTGACCGGTGGGACAACAAGGAGATGTGTCAAACTGTATTCTAATACAAAAAAAAAATTCCAGAAGAACGTAAGAAAAATATGTAAATAAAGATGAAAAGGAAAAATTATGTTGTTAAGATTATGTTTATGTAGGAATATAAAATCTAAAATTAAAGACAAAGGTAACATTCATAGTAGATAAGATATAATTGTGTTTAGTTATTTAAAGGTGATAGTTAGGAATTTTATATTTAGAAGTTGGAATTTTGAAACTAATAAAGACTATGATATTTTAGATTTTAGAATTATTATCAAGTGATCACTAGAAATAACTTTGACAAAGAAATAGAAACATAAATTGCGAAAGTTAATATTTAACTAATAGGTTGCTGAGATATAATAATTAAAAAATTCGGTGAATAAGATTAGAATATAACTTTATTGTTAGGAAATAGTTGATTAAATTCTTATTGAAGATTTACGTTTAACTTTTATTTTAAGGGCTGCGAGAGATAAAACAGCCTCAAGGATTAATGTGAATTAGTATATTAGGTTGTAGATTAACCAAAAAATCTTCATAGAGAGAATCGGCTTTTCGTCATTAGAAAATTTATGCCGCAATCGAGCTCAATTTGAGATCGGATTTTTATTTTGAATCATGAATAAGATTTAAGAAGAATCATACAATATTATTCTAATAATACAAAAGGAAAAACATGCTTTAGAAATATACATATCAGTTTTCAACAACGGTTGTGCGAAAAATTATAATGATTAGATTTCATAAGTTCTTCAAAGACGTGGGGTGAAAACCATAGTGATTAGAGTTAAGAGGTTGTTCATAAACGTAAGTATGAAAACTTTTATGATTAGATGTCATTGATTTCTCAACAACGTATGTATGAAAAGAGATTTATATATTTCAGCAGTTTTTTTTTAAAGACTTGAGTGTCAAAGAGTACATGAGGAAATAAATACACAATGATAATTTTGTTAAAAGATAGGTTTTGATATATATTTTGGAATAGGATTTTTAGATATAAATTTAGTATAGACATGGCTAAAAAGAAGATGAGGATCAATAGCTAAAGGATGAGTACAAGTAAATTTATCAATGAAAATATGGGTCTAGGCTTTATTAAGGGGAGAGGGGTGATAGAATTTGATATATTTATATAATTTATTATATTTTGCTACGTATTATAAATAAGATTTAGTATAATTTACGCCATTTATTAAAGGCAGAATTAGTTTAGAGGAGATAAATGTAGACATTAGGATAAGGTTGGTATAATTATATATTTTATTATTATATTTGTATTAGGTAGTTTATATTTGAGAATAAATATAAGAAAGTGATAAAATATTTCAGAAGTTATTTAAATAGATTATTTTAGGTAGAAATAGATGTGATTACCCGATATCTCAGCAAGAGCAAACTGTCGTAGAAGACCCGGAAGTCTGAAAGATAGATACGATTACAAGAATAAGAGGCAACAACCAATCAATAACAAGAGAAAGGGGAAAACAAGCAAATTGATAGGAAGTAGGGTCAAGACGTTATGCTGCAATCGTTAATCGCTGACCAATAATAGCCAATTATTACCGAAACTTTAGTCTTGATAGGAAACAAGCTACGATAAATTGTAAAAAAGATTAAGACAGACTAGCAAAAAACAAGAGAGGAAAAGAAACTGGATGTCATCGATAATCGTTATCAATCGTGGATAGTGGAAAACAGGCGTGTATCAAGTTCGTCAGTGGCTTACAGCGATAAAAAGCTGATCGTTTCACAGGGTGACAAGCGACAAAGCCTTCGTTAGAACTTAGAAGACAGCAAAAATTAAGAAGAATAAGTCGAGATCGAAAGAAGATTGATCATTCGCAGAATGTTGGGTCTAATTTAAGTAGGGAGGTGTTGTAAATGTTAGATTTAATTTGCATAAAGATTTCTTTTGGATTTTGTTGTACTTTATATTTAATTTGCATAAAGATTTTTTTTGGATTTTGTTGTACTTTATATGTAATTTGCATAAAGAATTCTCGAGGATTTATTGTTATAACGCGTGATAAAAAGATTATATTTGAATAGTTATGATTAGTTATAAGAAGATTGAAAAGAGTTTTGATGCACAATGACAATCTTGTCGTTGTGACAAGAAATATATGTGGTATTCTATATTAAAGCAAATATATATAGGTAGTTTTATATATTCCTTCTATATATAAAAAAACTCAAAGGCTTGAAGGAACATATTTTAAATGAGTTATTTTATTTATAATTAAAAGTTGATCAAATGAATGGGGTAGGAATGGAAATCTTTCTTTCTTTTTCAGTTGATTCTATATAAGAAATTTATTAATGAAATAAGATCGATTTACCTTTTAAATACAAATTACTATTTGCTTAAATTATAAATGATATATTAACATTAATAATTATTATTACACATCATATAAATTGCATAAATTTAGAATATATTATTTTATTGTAAATGCAATCAGTTAGATTATAAGTGATTATGCTATTGTTAAAAAATACCAGGGCTGTGAACCCTCCTTCTAAAAAAAAGGTTAGGGTTTAGGTTCATTCAAAAAAATTTTATTTTATAAGGTTAAAATTCTAAGATATTTTTATATAAATAGATTAATATATCCTTAAATAATCAATATATCAAAAAAATTATTTGTGACAAAAATGGAGATAGAATAACTTCTAACTCAGGTGACAAAATATTTTAATATGTCAATTTTTGATATATATTCTATTAATTGAAGTTCATTTTTTTATGATATAAATAACTTATAAAAATTAAAAATTAATAGATATATTCAAATAATATAATAAGAATATACATTAATAGTTATATTTCCTTTTATCTCGTAATAAATAGTTTAAATCCTTTAATATAAATATATTAAAAATAATTATAATTACATTTTAAATATCAATAGTACTAAATCCGCAAGTTGGCGTATGATATTTTATGGTAAAAAAAATTGAAAATATTTTTTTGTTTTAATATATTTTAAAATCATATTATTATTACTTAAAAAGGTGTTTAAACTAAACTGCAAATGCCAAGGTAAACTATAAATGCTGAGGTAAAAATCCTTGATATTTACTCTAATTGAAGTCGAATTCATTTTCTTATGATATAAATAACTTAAAAAAAACTCAATTTTTAGATATATTCAGTATTAGGAATTTGTCCTAAAATAATACATGCAAAGTATTATAATCTATCTAATAATTTAATTTTTATAAGTTATTTTATATCACAAGAAAATGAAGAATAAATATATCAAAAATTTTACCTAAACATTTGCAGTTTACCTAGACATTTATAGTTTAGTCAAACCGTAAAAACGGATTTCGATTTTATTCATAAAAATAATTGGTTTTTTTTAGATATAACCTTTTTTAAAAATTTTATTACATTTTATTTTTGTTAAAAACAGCATTATAGATCGAATCGTATCGAAAATTTTATAATATTGACCGATTACCGATATTTTAAAATGGGTAAAACATTGGCGATCCGATCCGATAAAAAATATCGGTACATCCTTGAATAATTAAAATAATTAAGGTTTTTTTTAAAAAATTTATTTGAATAAAAAATTCGTTGTGGACAAACCAGTAATATTTAAAATAATTAAAATTTAAAAAATAAAAATTCTATAATATTAGATCCGCAAGTTGGCGTATTATTATTATTTTTTTTATTTCACAATATTTTATATTAAATTAAAAATTATTACTTATATAAGTAAACTTTGATCCATTTTATTATTTAAGACAAAATAAAAAAAATTGATCGAAACAAATTACGTTTTAAATTAATCCTAAGCTAAAACAAAACAATTTATTTTTAAAAATAATTTACGTCTATTTTACTCAGAGACCTGCAGAAGTACCCTTTGCAAGACTCGGCCTTGATTTTTTTAAAAAAAAGAAATTAGACCGACCCGATGTTTTTTAGGGCCGGGCAGGCAAATTTTTTTTTAGCCTGGCCCGGGTTTTACTGTGAAATAATCTTTATAGCAATTTTTTTTTTATTGCATTTACATAGATTAATTATAAATGCCATTCTCAATAATTATAATGAATTCCATAGCAAAATAATAAAATTTATTCAAAATATAATGATTGTAAGATTAAAAAAGATGTTTATATCTATCATAAAAATACCTAAATGTTCCATTTTTAATAAATAAGTGTTCATCAAATTATTTTGACATAAAATATCAGTTGTTTAATTTAATTTTGATGTATTAGTGATCTGCATCGGGCCCTAATTTTTAAAAGCCGGCCCGGCATTAACCCTAAATTTTTTTTTAAAAAATTTACCAGCTCGGCACGGCTCGAATTTATTTAAATAAAAAAATTAATCTTTATAATAACTCAAAATTCAAGATAAGTGCTATATGGCGTCTAGTTTCCATAAATAAAATCAAATATTTTTATTTTACATAAAAAATTCAACATAAAAATTGATGTATTTTTAAAAAACTCCAAGGCTCGACCCGGCCCGAACCCGATTTTTTTAAAAAAGTAGGCCAGGCCCGGCAGATCCCTAATTTAGTATACATGGTAAAATAGTATATTTGTAATAAATTTTTACATAATATTTAAAAAATAAATGACGATCAAATATATAATATATAACAAAACAGATATAAAAAATACATCATAATTTTAAAAAATTCAGATTTTCTATATATATACCCTTGTATATTTCAATATAAATTATATTCACCTTTTTATAATAATTTGAAAACTCATAAGGAATTGTAAATTCATTAGGAATTGATGCTACATTAAGAATGATTTCGTGGGGATTGATTAATCGATATTTGTTTTTTAATACTCCAAAGAAATTTTCTATTGGTTTAAGCTGCGACAAATAGCGTGGTAAATATTCTATTCGCTCTTTAAACCTATCAATGAAATGGCCTTTAATGTAGTCCATAACAATAACCGCATCACTTGATATGATATTAATAAGCTCTGTCATATAATCTTGAAATAATAGACTATTATAAGGTCCTTCAATGGTGAGATGTATCACACCTTCGACTCCAATAGTACATAATACACTTATATTTTTATTCTTAGATGGTAAGACTTTCAAGATTTGCGTAATTTTATATGGTGCCCCGGTGTAAATAGGTACAACATGTAAATCGAGGCCTGTCTCGTCTAAGATAAATATTTTTTCTTTGGCTAAATTCAATATTTCCATACTAACGTATATTGATAACGCCCGGTGTGTTTCTCCGACCAGGTTACTTTCCTGTACATTTTTTGGACTATCTTTTTTTTTTTTAAAAAATATTTTCTTAAAGCTCCTTCGCTTATAGGAAATCTCAGAGGTAAATTTTCTATAATATATTTAATTGTGAATGCATTGTTATAGCCATTAAAAAATCCATAATTTTTCTTTCTGTAGTGAGGGTGTCTTTATTTTTTACCTCTCTTTCCAATTATATAATCTTTTCATCAATTCCTGATTCTCTTTTTTATCAAATTCAATACGCAAATATCATCTACAAATAATTTCTATATTATCAATTCTCCCTCTTTAAGTGATGATTCTATTATCGATCCAACAAATTTAATCTCGGCAATTCTAAGAAGGAAATATAAAAACTGGAATAAGGAAACCCGAGAAGAGAGCGAATGGAAATGAAAGATATCGAAAAGTAATATAGATATATGTTTTTATCGTCTATAAATAAATTAAGACGCGAAGCAATTTCCCGAAATCATAAGAGAGGCTTTGAAAGATTATGTAATTGGAAAGAGAGGTAGAAAAAAAAAGACACCTTCAATATAGAAAGAAAAATTATGGAACTTTTAATGATGTTTTTTACACCAATATTAACTTTATTTTGCATTTATATAATATTATAATAAATCTATGTATAATAATAAATATCATAATATTTTTTAATTCATTCTATAGTCAATGTTTCACCCTCCGTGGCAGAGTCTTGTTCCGATTCATATTCAATATCATTATTTTCTTTAATATTTTTAATCAATCTTAAATTATGATACACTCTTACTAATTTTCCTGCTGTAGAAGCCTTTAATCTATTTCTGTTTTTCGTGTGAATATTGCCCCAAACCAACCAATTTCTTTCAGAAGAAGAAGTCGAACTAGGAAATGTTAGTAAAATATTAGCGACTTCTCTTAATGGGCAAGGTGGGCAAAATGCATTCCACCAACTTGAGGCCGAAATTTGATTGTTTCTTATGGAAGTTACAACTTTCCACATATTATGGCTATTAAATATACCGCTTTTGCTTCTGAAATTTACTATATTACTCAAAATATTTTGATTATCACCACCTTGTAAAATACCCAATTCTTGTATTATATTACATGCTTCATCAAATTCAGTATTAGTAAGATGCTCCCCTTGATATTGGGGGTCCAATAAATAAGCAGCATTGTGAGCACATGTATTTATATCAGTTTTTCTCTTTTCAAACATAACCTTAATTTTTTTTTCTTGAGATGGAGAAAATATAGAATCATGGCATGATTGTATTATGTGTTTTTCCAAATTAAGCATCTCGTTTTTTACTTGGGCCAAAGTACATTTATCCCCTTGCACTTTCAACAATGAGGTAGCTAAAGGTTGGAGTATAGCTAAAAATTTTAAATTTTTCGTCCAAAATTCTTCGTTTAATATATTATTGGTAATTTCTATGGGACAATTATCACAAACAGCTTCTTCAACAACTGATGCTTTTAGAGCTTTCTTGCATATTTGAATTTGCTCCATACATTTTATTGACGATGCCCATCTTGTTTGGCTAATTGTACTTAATGTAGATGGTATGCCATGAAGATTCTTATTACGGGAAAATACTGCAGCTGGTATGTGTTTATTCTTGAAAAATTTAACAATTTTTTAATTATTGAAATATGGTCACTGAAGGCGTCCAATCGTTCAAAATCGTGAAAGAATAACTGCAATGTATGCGCTGCACAACCATACAATTGACCGGAGGAGTATTTGACTGGTCAAATACGGTCAAATACTCTAAAATATTAATGGCGAATAAATATTTTGATATAATTAACTAGTATGCATTAAAAGCATGTTTATCAATCTTATTATTTTTTTATTAAAATATAAATATGTAATTTTTCTAAATATAGTAATATTTTTAGTTATTTTTTTGCCTAATCATTGCCGTTTCTCGCCTTCTTTATTTTTTTCAATTCATTTTTCTTAAAAAAAATAAAAATACCCGATTTATTATAATCATAATATAATTTTTTCATTCTTATTTTTTAATAAATTTAAATTTTATTTAATATTTAGCCGAGTATAAATTATATTAATTCTCATTTGTTTTACTTACACTTGCTATATTTGGTTTTTAAAATTAATTTTCATTTTAATTGTTCTGGTCAGATTTACGGAATATTATTCAATTCTGGTAAAAAGTTTATTATATTATATTTATAATAATAAGAAATTATTGGAATAATTGGTCGATAATTATAAAATAGTTAAGATTGATTAACTTTACAATAATCAAAATCATTTTTTGTTAAATTTTAATATATTAGGGATTATGGTCAAACCAAAGCATCATGTTTGGAAACATTTTCAAGAAGTACGCGATGGTAAATCAGTTAAAGCGGTGTGCAAGTTTTGCAAGATGTCCTATATCACCCACGTTGATAGAATGGTCAAACATTTATTAAGCAGCTGTACTATGTGCCCTGTTATAATTAAGGAAAAATTTTATTCAAATTCCAAAATATCAACCTCTACAAAAAATATCACAAATGTAATTTGTAATACTTCTAAGTCTAACTCTAATGAAGAATTGGGTGAAATTAGTGAGAATGATTATCAAATGAACAATATTTTGTCTTGTGACTCAGGAGAATTTGATTCCCTTATTTCTAATCAATCTACAAGCAAGGCGATTAAATATAAATCTCAATCTTGTATAACCGGTTTCATAGATAGAATTAATCCCAAAGAAAAAAATGAGCTGGATCAATTGTTTGCAAAGGCTGTATATGCGAGCAATTTACCTTTCCACATCACTGAAAATCCCTACATCCAAGAATTTTTTAAAAAAATACGTCCTATTTACACATTACCCAGGAGAAGGCAGCTGGCTGGATATCTTCTAGACAAAGCGTCAGGTGATATGGAGGTGAGAGTTGCAGATATAATAGATAAAGCTCCTTACTTATCAATTGTATCAGATGGCTGGAGCAACATTAGAAACGAGAGTATTATTAATTTTATGGTGATGACGCCTGTTCCAGTGTTCTACAAATTTCTAAATACTGAGGAAAATCGCCATACGGCAGATTATATTGCCCAGGAATTTAAAAATGTAATTCATGAATTGAATCCGGTAAAAGTATATTCTTTAGTTACTGATAATGCCGCTAACATGAAAGCAGCCTGGAGAATTCTAAAATCTGAATCTATTTATAATCATATACAATGTTATGGTTGTGCAGCGCATACATTGCAGTTATTCTTTCACGATTTTGAACGATTGGACGCCTTCAGTGACCATATTTCAATAATTAAAAAAATTGTTAAATTTTTCAAGAATAAACACATACCAGCTGCAGTATTTTCCCGTAATAAGAATCTTCATGGCATACCATCTACATTAAGTACAATTAGCCAAACAAGATGGGCATCGTCAATAAAATGTATGGAGCAAATTCAAATATGCAAGAAAGCTCTAAAAGCATCAGTTGTTGAAGAAGCTGTTTGTGATAATTGTCCCATAGAAATTACCAATAATATATTAAACGAAGAATTTTGGACGAAAAATTTAAAATTTTTAGCTATACTCCAACCTTTAGCTACCTCATTGTTGAAAGTGCAAGGGGATAAATTTACTTTGGCCCAAGTAAAAAACGAGATGCTTAATTTGGAAAAACACATAATACAATCATGCCATGATTCTATATTTTCTCCATCTCAAGAAAAAAAATTAAGGTTATGTTTGAAAAGAGAAAAACTGATATAAATACATGTGCTCACAATGCTGCTTATTTATTGGACCCCCAATATCAAGGGGAGCATCTTACTAATACTGAATTTGATGAAGCATGTAATATAATACAAGAATTGGGTATTTTACAAGGTGGTGATAATCAAAATATTTTGAGTAATATAGTAAATTTCAGAAGCAAAAGCGGTATATTTAATAGCCATAATATGTGGAAAGTTGTAACTTCCATAAGAAACAATCAAATTTCGGCCTCAAGTTGGTGGAATGCATTTTGCCCACCTTGCCCATTAAGAGAAGTCGCTAATATTTTACTAACATTTCCTAGTTCGACTTCTTCTGAAAGAAATTGGTCGGTTTGGGGCAATATTCACACGAAAAACAGAAATAGATTAAAGGCTTCTACAGCAGGAAAATTAGTAAGAGTGTATCATAATTTAAGATTGATTAAAAATATTAAAGAAAATAATGATATTGAATATGAATCGGAACAAGACTCTGCCACGGAGGGTGAAACATTGACTATAGAATGAATTAAAAAATATTATGATATTTATTATTATACATAGATTTACTATAATATTATATAAATGCAAAATAAAGTTAATATTGGTGTAAAAAACATTTATTTGAATTTGACCATATTTGACCGGTCAAATATCGGTCAATTGACCGAATTGTATTTGACCGGTCAAATGCACAACCCTGCTTTATCGCATCATTGAGGGAGCTTATAATAATCTACTATTTCGAGAATATATGATAGAACTTATTAATATCATACCAAGTGGTGCAGTTATTGTTGCCACCTCATAGATAGTTTTAAAGATCGAATAGAATATTTGCCCACCCTATTCGCCCCAACTAAATCCAATAGAAAATTTCTTTGGGGGGTATTAATAAACAAATATAGGTCAATCAATCCCCGACCAAATACAAGAAACGAAATCGTTCATAATGTAACATCAATCCTTAATGAAATTTACTATTCATTTTGAATATTCAAATTAATTAAAAAATAAGGTGCATCAATATCTGGAGATTGGTAATCGAGGATAACCAATGAATTGAGGAAAATTTATATTTTTAAAGGAATATATAGAAAATCGGAATAAAGAAAAAAAACGTAAATCAAAATAATCAAATTTTTTTTTAAATTATAATGTATTTATTTTAACATCTGTTTTGTTAAATATTTATTATAGATTTGGATGGTCATTTATTTTTTTTTAAGTGTTATGCGAAAATATAAATTCACACGCGGAAAATAATTCCCAGGAAAAAAAATCCACAATAATAATTCTTAAAAAAATCATTCACGGGAATTCATTTTCTAAAAAATTTTTAAATATATTTGAGGATTTTTATTTCGTGGATATATTTATAGGGAATTTTTTTTCTACTATTTTATTAACTATTCTTAAAAAATGGGGATTTTTTTTCGGGGAATTATTTTCCTAGATTCATACTATTTTACCCTGCAATAATTTTACAATTACCTGTATGATTTTTATGTAATTCGTTAAATAGCATATTACAAATTTGTTTACCTGACTAATGTATACTATTTAGTAGGGATGTACCGATATTTTATATCGGATCGGATCGGGCCGATATTCCACCCATTTTAAAATATCAGTTATCGGCAAATATTATAAAATTTTACGATTCGATCCGATAAATGGCGTTTTTAACAAAAATAAAATATTATAAAAATTTTTAGAAAAAGTTATATCTAAAAAACCATTTATTTTTATAAATAAAATCGAAATCCATTTTTATGTTTAATTTTTTTAATAAAAATAATTAGTTAATAAACATTCTGCCGTAGTTATTTTTTTTCGCATTCTGTTTAAAAAAGTGTTCAATAATCTTCAGAATGTGTTTTTAAGTGATGCTAGTGATATTGACAATCCCCATCGCCGCAGATTTATCTCTGATAAATTGGAAATTTTGGTATTTCTAAAAAGAAATCTTCGATATTTTAATTTTAAATATTAATTTCAAATTTCATAATATATTTGTTTATTACTAATTATATAAATAGATTAATGTTATTATTTATTATATAAATAAGTAATTTATATCAATAAAAATATTTAATATACTTTTAGAATTGCAATTGAATTGAATATAAACTCTAACTGATCATTATAATATATTTAAATGACACATGTTATGGTATAGTAAAATTATAGATGTTATACTAATAAAAAGTATATTAAAAATTAAAATCACTGGTATCTTTACAGAATACAAAATGAGATATGATATCGGATCGGTTATCAGCCGATATCAATTTAATATCTGGAATATCGGATCGGACCGGCTTCCAAAAAGTGGTATCGGTACACCCCTACTATTTAGTGTTGTTAAACGGCTCGATTTAAGCCGATTTTTAAAAACGGTTAACTCAATATTTTAGCCAGAAAAATATTGTCTAAGCCTCGAGATTTCGTTAATAGATGTTCGAACCTTTATGCCACATATGAGCAAAATCTTAAGGAATATTTTTCCTAATAAAATACCGAGTTAGCCGTTTTAAAAAATCGGCTCAAAATGAGCCGTTACAACACTTATACTATCTTTTCCTTAATTCTCATTATACATATTAAAATCTAAGATTTTGCAGATAAAAAATAATTAATAACGTTCAACGATATATATATATAGTTTACCGGCACAAAAAAGGAAAAATTTCTTAAATATTAATATAAATATGATTTCAACGAATGATGTATTATGTAAATTTTTATAATAATTTATTATAATACTTTTAGACACGGAGCGTCATAAAGAAATTGGTCGATCTGGGGGGGGGGGGGGTTAATATTCTTTATGAAACAGAAATAGATTGAAGAATCTCGCAACAGGAAAATTGATTAAAAAAAATATTAAAGAAAATGATAAATGAATCAGAAGAAGACCCTGCCAACGAGAGCGATAAATCGGCGAATTTTAAAATATTAATATGAAATTAATATTATAGATTTTTTTTTTACTAATTATATACAAAACAAAGTTAATATGGTATAAGAAAACATTTATTTGACAAAAGTAGATTCAATTTTATAATTTATATTTAAACGCTTTATTTCAGGTTATTTACATCAAGCTACGAGCAAAGGAAAAAATTATCAAATAAAAGGCAACATACGGTGATATACCCAAAAAATGTTTCCCTCTCAATTTTGAAAAAAAATTTAAATCTCATTTTTAGGTAAAATTTTAGATATTATAAATTTTATTATATTATATTTTTTATATGGCGACAAATGCATATGGGTTGGAACCGATAATCGTCAAGTCTTTATATATCTTTGTCTTTTTTTTCTATTTCTTCCTTCTTTTATTAATTCTTTTTATCATTTCTTTGCTCTCCTAAAATCCATCTCCTACCTTTATGCGGTGGGGAGTAAACAGCAACGCTGACTAACAGGAGCTCTGGTGGATAACATTGTTTTCATGTAAAAAACCTTAACTATTGGATGATCCTAAGATAGAAAATTTATTATTAACCCATCATTGAGTAAAGAAGAAAATTCTCTAGTTTTATATATTTTTAAAAAAAAATTTGGGCCGGGCCTGCAAAATTAGGTCCAATGCAGATCACTAATGTAGACTAGTAAATGAGGATATTTCGAAGATGTAAATTTTAAAAGAAAGTTATATTTTTTATGTTGATAATTGATATTTTGTTTATATATAATTTCACTTTTTAATTTTTTATTATTATTATATAATTTTGATTATGTATAAATGTATGTGGGAGTATGTGTATGACAACGTAAAACAAGGGGATATACATTATGATTTATATATCTTTTAATGTTTATGAGAACTAGTGTTGTTAAACGACTGAGGAGTCGACTTAGTCGAAAACTGAGTCTAAGTTTTGGGTCGAAAAAATCGAACCAAACTGACTTGAGTTATGAACTCGAGTCGTGAACTCAAGTCGTGATTTCAAATTAGTTTTTATTATTAATTTACTATACAATTATTTTTTTTAATTTAGACTTCCAACTTGAGTAAGTCGTGAATAGAAATTACAAGCATTAATTATTATTTATTTATTTTTAGTAAAGTAATTTATTTATATTTAAATATTTATTATATTTTAAAGAAATGATATAATTTAATATTTTTTATTTTATAATATATTATGAAAATGATTGAGAACAAACCTTTAAAATTTATATATACATTTTTCTTCTTTACAAAGGTTACTCCAAACTTCATGCTTTTACATTCTTCTTAAAATTTTATATTTTCCTAATTTCAAATCAAAATATATTAATTTTAGTTGTAGAGTTGTGCGGGCAAATTGTGTGAGTTGTGATATAGCAATATACTAGTAGGGATTTATTCTTATCTAATTTTCACAATTTGTTTAATATTTATCGTAATTGATAAATAGTCGTCCGATTTTATATATTTAGATCGCGTGATTTATTTGTCACCATAATTATTTTTCAAAAAATTATATTAATATAATGGCATAGACTAAATACTAGCCCCAAGCTTTATAACCCTTCGAGAAAATAAGTTTAAAAGATATCGAGTCAAAAATCGAACGTTGCAAGATATCATTTCGAAAAATTTGTATATTACGAACATTTGCATATAAAAATTTTTATCGTCTGCTTATTAGTTGCATTAATTTCAAAAAAAAAATTCATATTTTGAAAGCAGTTTTAAGTGCTCTTCAATTCAAAGAATTTTTTTAAATGAAGATTATTTCTGAGAATGCTCACCTTGAATTCATAGCGGCGCGATTGCGATCGCGATTTAACAGCTGATTGATTTTTAAAATCTGTTTATGAGATCAATTTTTATTTATTAATATTAATTTTATCTTTAATTCAAATTTTAATAGTAATCTAAGAAATAATGATTTTAATAAAGAATAATTGATCTCATAAACAGATTTTAAAAATCAATCAGCTTTTAAATCGCGATCGCGCCACTATGAATTCAAGCTCAAACAAATTCGTGATCAAATTTTACCTATAAATCAATATCCTTTTTGTAAAAAACGTAAGGCCTCATTTATAGTAAATGCCTTTTTTCCGAGCGGTGCGTGATTTGCGAAATCAAGTCAGTGAATCTGTATTAATTTATAAATATGGACCGAAACTAAGAAAACGCTATGATAAATATAAAAAACATATGTTGCCACGAACATTTCAAAAATTATCAAAGCCGTGATTTCGATTTCGTTAGATAACGCAACGCTTGAACATAACGCGTTTACTATAAATGAGGCATTAGTATTATGTGTTTTTTTTGGCATAAAATCTTCCATAATAAATTACAATTTTTTTTTAAAAAAAAATCTAATTTTGTGATTTTCAAAGATTTTTTGCTTAAAATTTTGCCAAATTGGCGATTTATTTATTAGATTCCTTTAAAAAAGCCCCAGACGTCAGCTGTTGGGCCATTTTATGGTTTTGTATGTCGTCGATTAAATGACATTATATACATAATGATAAATAAAGACAATTAGCCGAAGTGCAAACTAAAAAAAATGGCGCAATCTAGTAGGATAAATATATACATCATTGTAAGCAGCATATCGTGAATACAGATTCTTTCCAATATTAACTCCATTTCTCTTTTGCTAAACTATAAACACAGTTTAAATATTTTATTATTGTTTTATAGGTATTGCTTTTGTATTACATATTCCCTTATTTTTAGTTCAGTCATTTTTTTTTATCATTAATCAATTTCCGACAAATGGATAAAAATAAGTATAAATTTTTTGTTAATATTTTAACTAACTCGGTAATCAGGCATGTTATGATTTTCGAGACATCTTTTTCCAGCTTATTTCCTTTAATAATATTTTCAGCTTCTTCCTTATCACCTGTTTCTTTTAGCGCCGTTGGTAAAAAGTAATCCTCCGCCCTATTCCCAAAGATTTGAGATTCGGCAACGCAGATGATTCGCGGAAAACGTGATAAAATCACGTGATTGGGAGCCATATTTGTCAGTAGGCCGGTGACTACGTGGCCTGGTTGGAACTGCGATAATATATCGCCCGAATCAGGCAAAAAATTCTTGATTTCATTAATAATAAGAAAAAAAAATAGGTTTAAAAAAGTTTTCAAATTACTTATATAGCTTCTCTCTTTATAGGGCCCAAAAAAACAACCAGATATACAATACTTACTTAAAAATGTATTTTAAATCGTCCGTTAAATATGAATTAGCTCACATGCCATTTTCGTTTTCCTAAAAATTTTTACACCATAAATGTATGTCTGAATTTTTTGTGTAAAGTTTTCATATTAATAATTCAACACGAGAAAATCAAAATCACCAGCTGATTTTGGATTTGATATATACATCTACGTTAGAGATGGACATAGACCACCTTTTTAGACGATATCGACATCCAAAAAGATATACCACCGACAAGCATAGTATCAGCCGGTACTAAATATAATAAAAAACATTATAAATGGACTAGATTAGTAGCGCTATTAATCCTCCTTTTTTTAAAACCCTTTGAATGCTTTAGATTAGTGTTGTTTAAACGGCTCGATGTGAGCAAAAAACGGCTAACTCGATATTTTATTCAGAAACCAAAGGTTGGACACATGTTAGTGAAGTATCGAGGCTTATGTAATATATTTCAGGTTAAAAAATTGAGATAGCCCTTTTTAAAAATCGGCTCATTAACAACACTAAAATTTTTTATATCTTTATTTTCAATTTTTCCTTTCTTGAATAATAATAAAGAATGTTGATAAAAATGAATTTCAAATATAATCGGAAAAAAATTATAATAAAATACGATGTTTATTTATCAAAATAAACAACAATAATATTAAAAGCGTTAATAATATATATATTTAAAAAAAAAATTTAAATTTCTCAACAAAACGCAATATAATAAAGTTGTCATTTACGATATGCTCATTGTGGCAACAGTTGCAGAAAACATTGTGGAAACGGCTCTCTTCAACGGAGATCAACTAGACAGTGGATTAGCTGGCGTGGAGATGACAGATAGGGAAATGGTGGAATTCCTCCGGGATGAATAATATGGGCGTTGAATAGATCTGTCTATGGAGAGCATATCAGCAATGATAACTTATTATTAAACCGCGTTTTTTTGTTTTGACAAATTCAAAAGTGATAAGAAAGTTTTCGAATCAAGAGTTTGGTTCAATTTTCTAATTATATTAATTAGCATATCATTAATGGTACTTTGATATGCGTTTAAAAATCTTTCATAAATTTGATAGACGTAAATCTGAGCCTTCATAGGCTCGAGTTAATCCAATGTTTGAAATAATAAAGGATCCCGATACAAATTTTTAAAATAGCTTTAAGAAAAAAAATACTTTGTAAAAATAATTATCCATCGCCATAATAATATAAAATAACATAGTTTGCAAAATATGCTTTACAGCATCAAAATTTAAATAAAAAACTGTCAAAAACATCAAATAATTAATCATCGCCAAATCAATTTTACACAAATTTTAAGATAATATGACAAGTAATAGGCTCTATATTAAGTCATTTTGATAGGGTAAGAAACGGCTAAAACTTGTTGTTTTAAAAAAAAAAAATCTATCGTTTTAACCTTGGGGTTGACTTAAAAAAATACATCCACAATTTTAAATAAGGCAGAAATGAATTAACTAGGACCTCTGCTTAGAAGATTTTCTACCGCACGCGCCTCTAGATTAAGCATAATTAGCCTATTTTTAGCCGCTCCCTAACTATGCTGATGGTTTATTTAATATTCACCCCCACCCCTCTCCGCCAAAAATAATAATAGTCAATAAATATTATAGGGTCATTCCATGTCAAATCAATCACTTTTCGGCCGACCCCTTTCGATTTCGATGAAAAATCGTAGGCTAGTTATATCTGTTCCCATTAGATTGTAAACAAAATTTTAGCGCATTAGCAATTATATTAGCGGAGATATTCGGGGTTAAAGGTCTAAAAAACATCTTTTTTTGCTTTTTACTGATGTTAAATAACTAGTTTTTAATTTAAAACTAAATATGATCAAATATTGAATCTAATATCAATAGTTAAGTTAATAATTGATGATTATGGCGAAAACATCAAAATTAATTTTTGATAAAATATGTAGATAAAAAATACTATATAATTGTAATAATAGGGGATAAAAGAAATGAAAAATTACTTCGGCTCTTTTCGATCTTTTTAGACTGATTAAATAAACGCGATTCAAAATTTCATCGTCTTCTGATTTGAGCACCTAAAGCGATTCCGCCGTAATTAAACAATAATAATAAGGCCTCATTTATAGTAAACGCTATATGTTCATGCGTTGTGTCATTTAACGCTATAGAAATCGCAGATGATTCTTTGTAGCGTTAATAAATTTTGAAATATACGTCGCAACATATGTTTTCAAATTTTATAATAAAATTTTCATCGTTTCGCTCCATATTTATATTAGCTTGATTTTGTGAATAACGCATCGCTTGAACATAACGCGTTTACTATAAATGAGGTTTAAAATAAAAACAAAATTTTTAATTCTATTTTGATTTCATAATAGTTATAATAATTTGAATTAATTTCTTCGAGACTAAAAAAAATTTGATTAGATAAAAGAAAACCAACCTTAAGCAGACGATTTTTAGAAGGGGTGTCCAAGATTGGGGAAATTGGATTGAGGATTCTGCATTTATGAAGGGACCGTTTGTCGGGACAAAATTTAAGAGCATCCGCCAACAAATCTCTTAAATTAAAGATGGAAGCTATACCAAATCGATTCCTGGGTAGCTTGAATAGGAAACCCACTTCAAAAAAAAAATGTAAAAGCCAAATAAATATTTTTTTTGTATCGCCTCATTTCTTAAAATTCATAATATCTCGTGCTTTACATTCGTCCAATTCATTTACTATTGGTAAGCACTAACGTATTCAGATTTTCTTAGACAGTCATTTCTTGCGAACATTATCGTTTATAAAATTGAATAAAGCGCATTCTGGAAGAAAAATATATAAAAGAATATTTTAAAACTTTGGTCGGGCAGACGTCTCAGATAAAGACCACACACCAATGAGTTAGGTGGCAGTATAGTTTGGTCAAAAGAATCGTGAATGAGCGACAGATGTAAGACGCGTTCGGTTCCGCCTTCACCGGTCGATACGATATTAATGACGCGGGCACCCTTGCAGACTCGACCGCGTTTAAATTTTAGGGAAACATTGGATATAATCTTTTGAGAACATTTCGTATGAGGAAAGAAAACAATGAAATAAAATAAATAATCCGATAATAAATGTTACACACCTTTTTATTGATGGACAGATCGACATCCATGCAAACAGCCTTAGTCAGGTGGTTGACGAAAAATGTAATCTTTCGCTTTTCAGGTTGCACGCATTCCACAAAACATGTCAACTGTTCGTCAATTCTGTTATCATTATTGGTTTGCGCGTGAAAAGAATTTTAAAAAAATATCTTGCATATATTATTTCTAAAAATTATTCTTTCTTTGAAATTAAACGGAAGAGAAGATAGAACCTTATAATAATAATTCACGATTTAATCATAAATAAATAATACCAAATATTATAATATTTTTTTTAAACTTGAAATCATAGGGCTTCCTATTCAAAAGCCGGGAATCAACTTCGGAAGGAAGGCCGGCAAAACCCAGAATCGGAACTGTCGTGGCTATTCCTGGATGAGTAAGTGCTAATCGTTTTCTGAGGATCACTTTTTCGTGGCACATGACGTATAAAGAATCCTCTATCAGGGAGCCTCTGGGAAAATGATTCAATATTTTGCGCTTGTTCTGAAAGTATTATTTTTAAAAAATAAGCATTTTATATAGCCATATGTTCAGGGCTTTTTGTATAATTACAATTAGCTATACTGGACTTTTATGATACAGTCCTAAGATTCTTATGCCTGTAACATAAAAGTCGAATAAAGAAATGCATGATGTTTAGAAGATCCTACTATTTATTTTAAAGTACTTGTAAAATCTTAATTCTTCCCCCTTACCAAATATTTTAAATCCTAAAAATATTTAAATAATTACTATTCCTAAAGTCTACTTAATTCTTATAAATAAATTATTTTTATGTTTGAACGATATTTCGCCCCGTTATCCCAAAGATAAGAGAGTTTTCAAATCAAGAGTTTATTCAATTTTCTAATTATATTAATTAACATATCATTAATCATACGTTAGTATGTGTTTGCCCAAAAAATCGTTCATAGATTTGATCGACGTAAATCCGAGCCTTCATAGGCTCGAGTTCTAGATGGGTGACAGCTCGTTTGGCTATCCTAAACTTTCCGCTAGGAAATACGATTCCTGTGAGAGGCAGATCGTTTGTCGAGGTCTCTGTATGCAAGGAGGATGATTGCGGAATATACGAATGTTTTAAAGATCTTACCGTGACGTATTTGAATTTAGATTCGATGCAAGAGATCTGAACTTTAAATTTCTTTTTATCCCCCAAAAATTTTCATTAAATATTATATTATAGCTATATACCTAAATTGCCACATACTAAAAAAGTATTTAGATAGTAAAACTTGTCTAATTTGATCTCTTGATAATTCAGGCATCTCCGTAATTATACCAAAATCTTGAGTTCCAATTGAACTCCTATTAATTACAATATATCAGAAAAAGACTTAATAGATTAGACAAGTGCACAAATTAGACAGGTTTTACTATATTAGCATTCTTTTAAACATGCTTCTATGGATTCTTTCTATCAATAACATTGTTATTTTAAATTCCCCCCCCCCCTAATGATAAAGTTAACAAACCATTTACTTAAAAATGTCTCGAAAAAAATATGAATGTTTAACATAAATTAAATTTCAATTTTTTTTATTTGTAACTTGTATTTTTGCCCAAAAATATCCAATATAATCATATAACATTTTAAAATAACCCTTTTATACCAAATGATAGAAACATATTTCAGCTGTTCTAAATGACGAAAGACAAAAAGGAATGTTCTCAGCATTTTAAACGCAACGTAAAAGAAATGAAAGTGGGGGCCATCTCTAATATCTCTAAAAAAAAATTTCCAACTATGAGGCTATTTACCGAGCTGGATTACCCAGTAACATAGGTATTAAATTTAAAACCGAGTGAATCATTTCATAACTTTGCATTCAGAGTTAGCGAGAATTCGAGGCGAAGTTATATCATATTTTGTATACTTTGCCACGAATTTGCGCTAGCTGTGAATGCAGGGTTAATTATAGTTTTTTTTTAAATAAAAAATATTACACTTTATCAACTAAATTTAGCTAATGGGTAAATATAATTAAACCTTACATGAGCGTTGCTAAAACACCTAAATTTAAACAAATTTTAAAAACAAACTATTTAAAAGATTTTATCCAAACAATTCGAGATTTTTTGCCTATACATGGCAGAAATGTTTAGCCCTCTTTTGGCAAATTATTTAATATAGGATCTAATTTGAACCTTTCCGACGATTAGGTCTTGTGAGTCAACCTTAGGCAACACGTCACAAAAATCCCAGTAGAGGGGTAAAAATGCCGGGAAATAATTCTTGATTCCGTTTATAGTTTTACCGTCTTTCGCGTCAGACTTCTTGTTTAACTCCAGCAGGACATTGGCAAAATAAGAAGACGCTTTCGCTTTTCTTTTATCATTTTCCTCGTTCGGTAAATTTTTCCTGGGGGAGTTATTCGTGGAAACGTTGTTTTCACAGTTTTCAAGCCCTAAAATGGTTGCCTCAATAACCGAATCCTTTTCGTTAGAATTTGCTAAACTCGAGAATGACTCAAAATTGCTGGAATCTTTATTTCGAGATATGTTGTGATTCATGACTATCATGGCTGAATAGGTGAGAGTTGGTGAACCATTATGATCGATATCACTTTCTTTGATATTCACGGGGTGCAAAATCATTACATCATATTTTTTGTCTACCTTTAATGGCGGCGCTTCGTAATTCTCATCTGCAATTGCGCCCATTTTAAAATCGTATATCGTAGGGGAGGCTCCTTCGGTTTTAGGGATGCGGGCTAAGCATAGTAACTTTATGTCGGACTTAATCGGATTTAAAATTACAAAATATGCATTACCGTCCTCTTGTGGCGCTATTATGTATTGGGCTTTCAGCAGTTGTCCGGGTAAGAATAAATCTGAGAAAGAAAATATGGAGAACAAGAAACCATTAAAATGATACAAGTTCTCATAAGTTATAATAGTCCATAGAAAATAATTTTTGTTCCCCTTACCCCTCATTCAGAGTTAAAGGGAATTTGAGGAGAAATTTACAAAATATGATGTATTTTTGCATTCCTTGCTGCGAATCCGCATTAACAGTGAATGAGTGGTAAGGCTGAAATTTGAATTTATAATAAGCACAATGCGACGCAATATAAGAGCTAATAAAATTCCTCCTTACATCGCGTCACATTGCTACTGCATATGAATAATGTTAATTATTTCTATCATAAATATGAAAAAAAAAATTACTGTAAGAATGTTGCACACTAAATCTAGAAAAAATGGCCATTCTTTCCGACCAATAATAATCCAACATGGTGGCGCCCTTATCTCCAAAGCTAACTTTTCGCCTGTCACTATTAATATCCCTGTCAGCGAGGGTCAATGAAAGCAAAGTTCTGGTATCGTTTGCTTAGTGATATATGTTTTAAAAAAAATTAAAAGTTTATGTTAAACTAATTTTAATAAACGAATGTATGAATTAAATGTTTCCGCAAATGCTTTCTTAAAAATATAGATTTCATCCATAATAATGATAATTAAAAAAACAATGTTGTGAACCCGAATTATGGTTAAGGAATTATAAACTTTAATTAGCGAAAATTTTGATAAGTCGAAACCGATTATCTGAAAGAGGCCTGTACCTGCCCCTGATGCATATTACTCCGGGTTAGATGCGTTGCCCATAAATCGGTCCCTATTAGGTCTGTGCTCTCAAAATATCCAACCAAATAATTTTAAATTTCTTAACCATAACTTAGGTTCATAACAACCCTGAAAGAAAGTACTGAAAAAGATACTAAAAAAGTATCTTTGTTACACTGTATCAATATTAAATCCAATTTTAAAATTTATTAGAGATTCTAAATGATTTCTTAGAACACATATGGGAAAAAATAAAGTCGGAATTTAAAAACCCCTATATGGGCCACCAACTTACCGATCGGGTTATCACGTCTGTAAATTTCGAATTTTATATTCATTAATTAATTAAAAAATGTATTATATATTTTGGCATGACCTAAATTCCAAAAAACCTAAAAAGTTTCGTAACTTTAGAAAATTATGAAATATGGCCAAAGTCTTCCATTAATATATTTTTTTTAAAGTTTTGTAAATTATTCCTATTAAATTATTTTTATACTTCCCCTTTTGTTTATTATAATTTAGAAAATATAAATTAATATTGCTTACCTTTTGTTTAACAAAAATTTCACAACTTTTATAAAAAAGCTAAAATTTATTAAATTTTTATAATTTCTCTAATCATTAAAAATTAATAAACTTTTGTAATTTAGAAAAAATGAGCCAATATTTTATTTTTCCAGAGACCTGCAGAGGTATTTGGATGGTCCGGCCCGGATTTTTAAAAAGATATAATTTTCTCGCCCGGATTTCTATTTTTTCAAAATTTTTTCGGGCCAGACCCGGGTTTTATATTTTCAGGCCTGGCACAAATTTTTTAAAAATATATTATATTTATTTTTAACTTTTATAGGTAATAATGGCGATTTAAAATATTTGTTATTTAAAAAATTAATTAGGTCCGGCCAGGGTATTTAAAAAAAAACATACGATGGACCGAGCTTAGGTCTAGGCCTGCAGGTCTCTGATTTTTATAAGAGGCCTGCATATTTCTCTTTTTTTCGTTAGTTACGAAAGTTTATTAATTATATTTTTGATACTTAGGTCACAGCCTTATATTAATCATTTAATAAAAAAACTTTGAGGAAATATAGATGATCGTTCTTCATGAGAATCGTCAAATCAAAATATTTTTTAAAAAATATTCCTTGTGGATCTAAATTGGAAATAAAAAAAAACCTTTTATCGTCTGTTCATTAACGGAGGGACACTTGACCTCCAAAACTTTGGCCATTATAGTAGCTCCGGGAGTCGTGTTTAACATACTTTCCTCACTTTGTTTCCCATCGAGTGCAATTTCTAAGTGGCCATCTTGCTTCTCCTCTCTTTTAACTTCCATTTTATTTCGTTTATCAATTTTATCGTCTGCTGGATGTTTGTAAAAGAGAAAATAAAAAAAATCAATATTTTTAATAATTAAAATATTAATTTTTTTTGATATACAAATGCATCATTTTTAAAACTTGGTGCGTCATCATTAGTTTCTCGATCTTTCGGATTAAACTCGTGACCTCGCCCTGGGAAGTGAGATCGATGTACCAATCCACGTGTACCATCCGGGAAATTCACTATTAAACCACATTCTCTGTGAGTTTTTATCTTTCCGACGCAATAGATACCTGGCAACAGACCATCGGCAGTGTCGTATTCCGTGTTGACATCGGCGTTGCGGTCAGAATTATCGTTTGGAATGAGAGGAAGTATGGCGCGAGATCCACCGGGAAGAGGGTCTTTGATCCGTTTGTAAAAGGACTTATTTGTCAAAATCTTGATGATGTATGTTTATGTATTTATGGTTTGAATCAGAGTCCTGCTACGGATCATATTTATTTCGGGTTCAACAAAAAAAATTAAATATTTTTGTCGGATAGTGAAGGTCAACAGTCCGACCTATCGGTCTTAGAGCTGATCGATTGACGGGCAGGTCTTTTTCAAAGATCATGGTCCGGGCTGGTCTTTTAATTTTTTTCCAATGCAGGCCACGATCCCTGACCAGTTATTTTATTAATATTTAAGTTTGCCTCACTATTCAATTCATATAATTTTTTTAAATAAATTTTTGTGTATATTTTTATTTTATTTTTTTCTTTTCTTTAGTTCAATTTTATTTTTGTAAGCTATTGAAGACGAAAATATTTTTAAAATAGCAAAAAAACTACAATCTAGATATGTCTTGAGGATTGTGGCTGGGTCCAGGCCAAGTTACTTCACTTTATATTGGCCGTAATTTAACTTTCTTTAATAAATATCTGATTTTTTATGTAAATAAGAATAACATAATTATAAAAAAAATTGATATAAATCATTTTTGGCAAAAAGGGGATTAGAGAATAACCTAATTCTCAGGACTAACTGCCCTGTATAATATATGAGTACCAAACGCGTGATTTCTCAAACGCTAGAACTCACTGTTACTGAGTAAAAGTGATCGCGTGTACATTTGAAACCTTTTTTTTAATGTATCAAATGTAAATACTATTTTAGGGGATAAGGATAAGCAAAGCAAATTTTCTATTTCCATTCCTTCATTCCAGTGGTCCCAGATAAGTTGGAAGTTGGCGGGGAAATCGGAAAGGTGAGATTTGGGTAAAAATGTGGAAATCTTTTTATGACCAGGTAATTGTACGCTAACGCGAAATCCAGAGGTCATCTTACACGTTATGACACCAGAATAAATCTTTTATTTAAAAAAATGTTTTTGAGGTGATTAACTGATTTATTAAATGTAATAATTAAATAAAAAAATTTTAAATAAAATTTCATTCATTCATTAATATAGTTTTTTTAAACCCTTCCAACTTTCAGGCCTTGATATTTATCCACTATAATTTTTGTTGTAGTCGTTTCGATTTCCTTTTCAATAACAGTTTCGTCTCTGATTGATAGATCATCTGTCAATTTACGTTTCTATCAATAAATTTAAAAATGAAGCTAATTACTATTATATTTTAACTAGCTGATATAATCATGTTAAATAATTAGAATTTATTCCCCTATTTTAAACTCAAATTGTTATATATGAAGATATATGAGGTGATAAATAGAAAGAAAAAAGAGAAATGATATACAAATTCATTAATTATTTTAATTTTAATTTTAATTTTTTTTTAAAATTTTTTTTATTTTTGGATTTGGAAGATATTGTTTTTGATAATAAATAAATTGATTATTATTATGATATACATGAAGATTGATATACAATAAAGAATTGTAGGTTATACTAAATATTATCAAATATATATTATATTGTTTGATACATAAAACAAATTATCACATAATCTTAAAAGAATTTAGAAACGTTGAGATTGACTAATTATTGAAGATTAAAAACTAGAGATCACATAAGGATGGGGAAAAAAAATTGTGAAGATAAGAGAAAATCTCTGCGCATTCTTGAGCTTCGATTATAATAAACAATCATGTACATGTATGGCCAGGCTCATTTTCCTTTCCTCCACCCTGACTTCCAACACGCGACACGTTACAGTTTGCCCAAGTCGGTATAGCTCCTTTTGATCGATGGGTTCACGTGATTCCGTAATTTCGACCGGTTGTGAAGCGAACCTGATGATCCCCTTGACTGAACCGTAGAAAGCAACGAGCAAGCCGTAATCCATAATATTGACTATTGAGCCCTTGGCTAGAGTGCCAAACCTGACCTGGGAATAGCTTTTCAAAGGAGTCAGAATTGAGTTAATGAGAGACTTTTTGTGGGTCACAATGAGCTTAGTGAGGTCGGGGAGCACGTCAATCACCTGAAACAAGAGTGAGTAGGAATAAACTATATAATAATTAATATATTATGCTTATCCAGCCAATAATTATCATTTTTAAAAAGTATTTGAGCATTATTTATAGTAAAATATATAATCAAAGATTTTTATTAAAGAAAAAGTTTGATTTAAAAAGATGCAATATATTTTGTCATTACTCGACAAGTCAGCAACTTCCCGGGGGTGTAAAATTTGCGCCTATATTTTTTGATGACAGCGCTAACTTGCTCTTTACCTTTTCCCTTGTTTTTAAAGCTTGAAAGTGAATCGGATAAATGAAGTAACGGAATGAAGCCTCTTATCCGCTCGTTAATCTTGACCAACACTCCTTCTTCGTCGCTGTATTTAAGCACCACACATCCATGAACGATAGCACCAATAGCGACCGATTCATAATTTCGCCAGGCGTCCTGCGAAACGACCCAACTTTTCAAAGCCGCGCTTTTTTTGAGGGGAAATTCGCTGGGGAAGGATGAATGTTCGCCGAAGGGTGACATAGATTTGGAGCAAAGTGAATACTTCGGATCAAAATCCAAGATGGCGATGCCAAGGACGGGATCAAAATCTAGTAGACAGCCGGCCAGAGTGGAGCCTAAAGCTGGGACGAAATTTTTGTCGATTACTTTGCTCTTTTTATTCGATTCAGTTTGGGCTACCGAAGCCTCCCTCTTATTATGCTTACCATCTTTCAGGTTCGTTTTTAAGTCTTTTTTTAACTTTTTCGAATCATCTTTACCAACTATATTAACGCCTGCAGTTGTCTTCCAATTTCCTATACCAACTAACTTTATAATGTTTGTCAGGTCGTTAGCTTTATTACCGCGTCCTCTTGATGTAATAATTTTTAGCTCAAAGGCTACAAATAATTTTGTCGTAAATTTTCCGCCATTAATCACACTTATTACACGCACATTATTTATAATTTTTCCGCGGTTGGCATATACGAGAGTGTCTTTAATATTATTAAGTTCCGAATCCTCGAGAAGATTATTAACATTTCTGAAGCAAAAATTGGGAGCGAAAAGGCCCCCTCTAGCGGGAGCCATTATATTTCTTATCATGCCAGGTCGGGCCGTCACCGCGAAGGCCTTTGTAAACGAATTGACGTAAGTTACTATCACCGGAAAAACGCGTTTACCAATAGCCCAGCCTTTCTCCTTTTTTAAAATAGAATTCAAAACATCTATCCTTTTTTCTAAATTATCTTTGCCGTCTTTTCCACTACTACATTCTGTATGGTCATCTGTTTTTTTCCTATTATTTTTTTTTGGAATTAGGTAATTTGATAATTATAAATGATAAAGATTATAATAATTTTCTAATGAATTTTTATCTCTAATAACCTCTTCAATGATCGTGTGAAGATTCTTTTTTGCCAAAAAAATGAATAATTGTAAAGATCAAAAAATAAAGTTTTTTTTAACAATTATTTTTTGCGAGCAAATATTTTGTGATTTTGTGGGGATGAGGGGGGGGGGGGATTGTTTGCGACAAAATTATTTATCAACTTTTGGTCGATATAATTAATGATAATATGCGAGTGGGTTTTCTACCATTTTTCTCGGTCAATAATTCACAGTCTAACTAGAGATGGTAAGGTGTATATTAAAACACCTGTATAGTCAATATATTCCAAGCATACCATAATGCTAATTTAAATGAAGTTTTTATATTATTTAAAATTGTAATTTCCTATCCAATTTTTTCCCAAAAAAACTTCTCTAGCCTTTAACCTTCAATCGTGATTTGAGGTAGCTAAGGCAAGAGCTGAACCAACCTGCGAAAATTTTTATACGGATTTTACAATCTGATCCATAAAAAAGATTTTAACCAGCCCAGCTCCGAATAATTTATTGCGAAAGAAAACATGACAAATTTTGTTTAATTATCGTTTTTCAAAACATTTTCAAAAACTATAGCCCGCATAATTATTTTTGATACAATTTGTTTCATTTAGCCCAGCCCGAAAAACCTTTTTTGGGCCAGGCTAAATAATTGTAATATTCGATCAGGCAAAAAAAATATTATAATTTTAGGGCCAGGTACCAGTGCTATATTTTATTGATAATGCTATGGCCTGTCCAGCCAGCGGGCTTACTATGTTGGTACTTTATTGAATACATCTTAGGATGAAATTGATCAAATGGCTCTAACCTTTTTAATTTGATAACTCCTAACCCATTATCGCACACCCATCTATCTTCTATAATAACTTAAATAATGATGGAACATTTGTTTAAAAATAAAATATTTTATTTTTTTAAAAAAAGCTATTTTTTTTATCAAAAATTATTTTTGATAAAAGAATTACATCAATGAGAGAATCAATTTTGCAGAAAGAAAATTTTCATAAAGATTTGTTTTTTATCAAGAATCGAGCATGCTCAAAAAAGATTTTATATTCAAGGATCAACAGTTGAATAATTTTGATATTTGAAGAGTTCGTTAATCATCCCTTTAAAATGATTAATTTTTCAAGATTCGAAACTAGAATATATATCTAGTTTCTAAAAAAAATTATTAAATTCATTCTTTGGTAACCCTAATACAATTAAGAGCCCCAAAATATGCTTGCCATTTTGGTTAAACCACACTAGCTAATCATATTTACTAAAATAAACCATCTTGATATGAAGGGTCCCCTTATATTAGTTTTTTTTTATACTAAATTTTACCTTTTATCATCCTGATCATCATCTGAATCCTCTAAAGATGGGAGGGGTGGAGTGAGATATCCTCGAGTGGAGTGTTGGGTAGCAACCTCGTAGCCTCCATTATTAAGTTTGCGCACTATAGTGACCACCATGACTGAGCCGGGTAAGATGGCATCCACCGAAGTTGGGCACCATTTCTCAAATACGCGTGTATTTAAAGTGTCTAAAAACTTTTTTTTTAAAGAGATTAATTAATTTATAAAAAAAAAATCCGTTTGACAACGTTAGAAAGGAATTATAAAAATCGTAGCTATTGCCATGTCTTCTAATGAAATGTTCTATACAAATTTAAAAGCTTAGAAATGATAAGTAAAATTTTACGCCTACATTTAATAAGAAAAGAAGCATAGTAGCTGTTGTGACTTATTATTTAAATTAAATTATTTTAGGATAAATTGTAAATTGTTACGACTTATTTTTATTTAAAATTATTCCAGGATGGATTGTTGCCATTTATTTTTATTCAAATTTCACCAAAGAAAATACATTATGATAAAATTACAAAAACGAAAAACTTTTTTTTATTTAAAAATTCCAAACAAAAATATTAATAATGATTTTTCTACAAAAAAAATATTTTAAAAATTATAATTATTTACAACATCTCACCCCTTTATTTGGGATGAGATATAGGTTTGATTCCTAATTTTTCTTCTTCAGGGTTGGCTAATAGCATATCTTCAATCTTTTGTATTTCTCTCAAGGAGGCTTCAGCTTTCGATGTTGAATAGTGATCCTTCAGATCCCGTTGAAAAAATTGTTCGGGACTCTTCGGATACTTGCCTCATAAAATTAGTGGTGTCGGAATTTGAGACGATTCATTTGGCTTCGAAACTTTGAACCTTCCATAACATTTTTCTTGGTAATGGTCCAAAGTTAGCTCGACAGTTTATAATCTTATGTCCTAATATCCCACAAATAAAACATTGTATATTGTTTATAGGAGTTTGTGATCGTTCTCTCATCATCGCATATTGAGTAAAATCTTCTTCTTCTCCCATCACCATTGTATTATAATTGTTTGTTGAAGGTAAGGCGTACGGAGCCCCTCGTCCATTCATTGAAAATTGAGGCTTATGTGTCATCATACCTTGTTGTTGTATCAACCACCTATCTAACCAGGCATCGGCCAATGGACTCCCTAGATTAGCCTGGTTCACTTGTATTATGGATTGCGGCGTTTTAATGTAAAAAGTCATCATATTGTTCATTATTTTTAGAAATTTTATTTTAAATTCAAAATTTTCTTTTTATAAAAAACCAAAACTTTCTTTAAATTAATTTAGGAATAAAAAACCCAAAACTTTTCTTAAAATTAATAATATATGATTTTGTTAACCTTCCTTAAAATAAATTTTTTTTTATTTCTAATATCTTTTCAATTCCTTTTCATAAAATCGCATTAAATAAATTTACTTCTATACCCCAATTAATAAATACTCTATTTCTTGTTTTTATTTTTGCTATATTTTTTATTTTAAACCAAACTTATCCTTGATCCCAAAAATATTTCCTATTTTTCTATTTGAATTTTCTTTGATTTATGCATGATCCCAAAAATACTTAAAATTTTTAAATTTGAATTTTCTTTGATTTATGTGTGAAACGGGATCTGGGGCTAAGGATCACTATTCAACATCGGAAGCTGAAGCCGAGAAATACAAAAGATTGAAGATATGCTATTAGCCAACCCTGAAGAAGAAAAATTAGGAATCAAACCTATATCTCATCCCAAATAAAGGGGTGAGATGTTGCAAATAATGATAATTAATTTTTAAAATATATTTTTTTAAATATTATTATTTTTTTTGTAAAAAATAATCATTAATATTATTTTTTTTTAATTATAAATAAAAATATTTTTCGTTGTTATAATTTTATCATAATATATTTTCTTTTGTGAAATAATTTGAATAAAATAAAGTGGCAACAATTTATCCTGGAATAATTTGAATAAAAATAAGTTCCAACAATATTTATCCTAGAATAATTTAATATAAAAAATAAGTCGCAACAGTAATATAAGAATAGAGGATAACCAAACTTATATTGAAAAAAATAATAATATACCCACTAACTACTTATAGTTGGGTAATGAATGACCAAATGTCGGCTCAATCTACAGGCGCATGCTGGAGCTGTTTAACCGTGGCTAAAAATTAGCTTAAACTGCTAAAAAGTATAGTAAATTATCCAACTATGCTAACTACAAAAAATATGACATTCGATTAGTTTTTTAAAAAAAACTTTCTTTCTTTCTGGAAGTAATCTAAAATTGTAAATTAAAAAAAAAATGTTTAAGATTATTAATCCCTATTTTTTTATATCTATATCTACCAAAGTAATGTATATCTATATAGCTTATTTTGAATGTAAAATAATTCACGTCAAATAGAAGAATACAAAAAAAAATAGGGAGATAAGGGTATAAAGAAAATATAAACCAATGATGATATGTCAATTTTATCCTTTCCAAATACTCCAGTGTAGATTGAAACAGGAATATACTTAGGCAGGTTGTTCTTACTTGACCCGAGATTAGGTGGTAACTCCACCTTGCAATGCAGATATTGCCCGATTGAAAGTCTTAAACCTTTTTAATAATGAAGAATAGTTTTATAGTGTAATATCAAGTTGATTATAATTTATGTAGGAACTTGTCATTATTCAATAATAATATTAAGATGGCCCCATATCAGAGATGCGCTAAATACCACTATTTTAACCAGCACCAATACTACCCGATATTTAGAATGAAATTATTTTTTATAAATCTATAAAGGTTCATTAGTTTTTGCAGAACATGGGCTAATATTAATCTGAGGAGTTGTACTAATCCCATATTTTCCGATATATTAATTCAAAACCGATCCAATAACCGATATCTCGATTGATTTCTATTTAAAATTTATCTTCGAGCCCATGTAATGTAATTTAAGAAAAAATAATTTTCTATGCAAAAAAAAAATTATCACTACCTATAAAACTATGGGCAAAAAATAAAAGAAGCAATAGAAATTTTCAGTTTCACATACCCAAGGCCAAATTTGGTGCATTATCAAGTAGCGTTGTTTAAAGGGCCAACCCAATATTTTCGCCAACAAATATTATGTAAGCCCGAAGACTTTGCTCATATATGGCAGAAAGATTTGGGCATCTATTAACGAAATCTTGAGGCTAGCGTAAATATTATTTTGGCTAAAAATCTAAATTTAAAATTGGCAAAAATCGAGCCGTTTAACGACACTAATTATCAAGAATAATTAAGTGTATTTTTTTTTGTTTTTTGGATTACCCAATAGTTTATCTCATCCGAGACACGTTTAAATATCTTTAAATCCTTTTCTTATTGCAAAATATTACACTATATATATCAAATTATTCATCTTTTTATCTACTATTAAAATAATTTCGATTTATTAAAATATTATAAAATAAAATAAAATAAATAGAAAGAAAGAAAGAAAGAAATAACGAAATAAAGAAAGAAAAAAAGAAGAAAGAAAGAAAGAAAGAAAGAAAACCAAAAAACAAAGATAATATCGAATAGAGTCGGCATTTTTGAAAATCCGAATTTTTTTAAATCGGAAAATATTAGTGCCAGGATCTGATCCGATACTTAATATAGGCACGCCTCTAGTATAAATTAAACGTTACGCAATATCTAAAAACGATCAATCATCATTTCATAAATTATATATAATACTAATTATTCCTTTTTAATGATAAAAAGAAAAATTAAGGAAAAAATAATATATAAAAAAAAACTCCTTTTCCAGTATTTAATAAAGACTTGGGCTTGATTTTCAGGTAAAAACGCGTTTAAAGGAAGACCCGTTTCGAGAATGTATCCATGATCTTCGACACTTTTAATTACACAGCTGATCATCTAAAAAGATATATTAAATAGAAAAAAAATTAATTTTCTCCTAATTCCAAACATGTAAATCATAAATATTCTTGAATATATATTGTTTTTTTATATCTCAGTAAATTTGAAATTACTATTAATATGATTAGGAAAGGTTCTAAAAATAAGAGCTTTTTATTTATGTTCTAATATATTTTCAATTTAGTAAATGTTTTATTGCATATTGGTACTCATTCCCTATTCTACCATTGCTTATGGTATCACTCATGATATTGATCATCATTGATATTAGCCAGAGTGTCGAAGCAAACGATAAAACTAGTTTTTAAAATTTCTTAACAAAATAAAAACCAATGGCTGATACCCAGAAATGGGCAAATTATCTCCACTCTAGGCTCAGTCTGACAATATATCTTTTTAATATCCCTCTCCCCTGTTTTTAAATATTTTAGTTTATATAATTTTTAATATATATATATGTTTATCTTTAATTTATTTTTTCTTCCTATAATATTTTTTAACATTTTAAATATTTAAAATTAATATAATAAAAATAATTACGTTTAAAAAAAAATATTTATATTTAATAAGTAACGAATAACATGTTACTTTTTCAAATGTAATGAGTAGTGTTTGAATAACATTTAATACTAATTTATTATTTTTTGGAATGAGTTATGTTGGCTATTTTAAAAAAAATTGTAACACTATATCTCTGCATTTAAGATAATAAAAATATACTTTTAGATTTTCATATTAAAAAAAGTTCTAAAAGGCCATATTTTATACCAAGAAAATTCTGTTAATGTATTCAATGATTTGTAAAATATGACATTTTTGTGAGATCCCTGATCAATCTGAGTTTTTAATTCTAATAGGAATTATATTTACAAAGAATCAATCAATTCTTAAAACATCAGTCAATATTATGTCTCTCTAATTAAAGTCTTCAAAATAGATATAATTAGAGACAGTAAATTAAATTACATTACAAATATAGGCAAACTTACCATATTATTCTGTAAATCTTTTAAAGATAGAGAGGAATTTACTAATTTAGGATTACACGATAATACAATAATTTTTTTCTTTTCAACTGTTTTGACTTCTGTTACTTGAACTCTTATCCATTGTCCTATATTAAAAAATTGTCTCAAATTGATGAGTTCCTAAAAAGAAAATAGTTATAATAACACAAATAATTTACTTCATCAACATCTGAATTATTAGTGTATGATTTTAGAAATTCATTGTAATCATCAGATATGTTAGTTAAAGGTAAAGTACCAATTAAACGGCCTGGCAGTGATATTTTCATTTCATAATCATGAATAGCTTTAATAATCCCCAAAAATTTCATTTCAGGTGTAAGGGTCTAGATAAATAATGGATAAAAACTAAACATTGATTAATTTACATTGAAGTTAATTTTATCAAAATGGCCAAACATCCTAGTATTTATTTCGATATTTTCTACATGTCTTTTAATCCGATTCTTTTTAATCTGTTTATGATTTTTATCACTCTGAATAATCATATTTAATTAGATATTATTAGCTAAATTTACCTTAAATTTAGGTTTGAATGTCTGCTTTCCACCACGGGGTAGGTCTTTAGTAGTGGTCGAAGTCATATCAATTTAAAAAATGTGTCTTTAAAAAATTTAAATGTGTGCAAGCTTTTAAAGTTTTTAATAATTTTGGAAAAACTAAATACTAACCGGATGGAAATTAGTAATATATACATTCACTAAATGAGGTATCGTCCCTCTAATTCGTATGAAAATTTAGGAAATAGGTTTTTTGTCGTATTGCAATAGTTCGTTCCCAAAAAAAAGCCAATTTGCAATAGTTCGTTCCCAAAGTAGTTTGTTCCCAAAATAATTATGAAAATCCAAGAGATTAAAGCTAAATCGCAACAATTATCAATAAGAAAATTGTAAAGTATATATTATTTAATTTGCATTTAATAATTAATTTTTTTAGAAAACTAGGCAAAACAAAGAGTGCATATAAACAAAGCTATTATTCAAATTCTAATAATCAAATGGTTCAATATAGTTTGATTAAATCAAAATACAACAATAATATTATCTATTCTAACAAAATTTTAATTCAATTTATACATTATATCATGCAAAAAAAAAGAGATTGCATTTTTATATATTAATTAAAATTTTTATTATGAGATATTTCATATAAATTTTAATAATGTTATATCAAAGATATATTTATAATAAAGAGTTTGCTAAAATATTGTAAATTATCTGCTATTTATATCATTTTTAAACAAAGCTATTATACAAATTCTAATAATCAAATGGTTCAATATAGTTTGATCAAATCAAAATACAACAATAATATTATCTATTCTAACAAAAATTTAATTCAATTTATACATTATTATACAATTTTATAATCGCTTCAAATATATTTGTGGCCATTTTAGGTCATTTGACGTTTTTTCACAAATGTTCATACGATCTAGTGGACCCTAACCAAAAATTCGCTAAATAATATGAAAAAACAAATATTAAATTAATTCTAATTATTATGTATTCACAGACAATATGAATAGCGAATTATTTTAGAAAAGTTACAGCGTGGGTATTTTGAAAATTATTTAGCCATAAAAGGGATTCATTTATTAGAATAATACCTATAAAATATATAAATTCCTTTATATAGCGGAAAAATAAATGATTGAAAAATTTTATACTCAAAGTGAAAAAATTATGATAAGTTGGTTAATTTTTTTCAAATCTTTTCATCATTCATCTTATACAAAATTTCGAACCAATTCGTTAAAAAATTTTATATGCCTTTTTGCTTGTCAGATTATGAAATATTTTTGGATGCATTAATGAGTTAAAGATAATTAGAGTCATTGCATACTATTAATTTTTAGCATAGGGGATGGAGATATGAGAAGAGGCGGCGTAAAGAGTAAGTTTACCCGACTTAGCCTAATTTAGCGGACTTTTTGCTATAATTGGCTATTTGTATAGCTGTATGTAATCATAGAAAGTATGACTAATAGCCATTATTTAATAGCAATTATCCCTATAAAAATATTTATCAAAAGAAAAGAAATTAAATTATAAATATTTCAGTTAAAATTCTTAGATTATTAAAGGAGCTAATTTATAAAAAAAATATTTTTAGCATTATATCTGTCTATAATTAGATATATGTGTTTTGAAATAAAATTTATAAATTTCTCTTTAACAATCAATAGTGTTGCTTTATAGTATGACCGGTCTCATGGTAGGGAAAAGATGAGGTAGGGCTGCCTAGGCTCTGCATAATTTTAGTCAAGGTCAAAGTATTTAAGCAAATCTGAAGTGAACTCACTTATTAGTTGCAAGTGACCTAACTTAAAACCTTAATTAAGGTGTTGTTTATATACCCATAAACATGACTTTATCATTTTAATGCTTTATCATGCTAATAGACTGCCTCAAATCCCTTCAAAATCTATCGTTCTAAGAATTTTTCTAACAACTCCGATCACAATGGCTTCTGGTGAGAGTAGTATCCCTGATTTTAATTTAAAATTTTACTGCAAATTTTGATAGCGCTATCTATATTTATAGTGATGTAATTTATAATTGCTCATATTTGTAAGAAAACAATGTTATCACAATTCATTAAAGATTTAAATAGTTGATCTTATATTTTAACTGGTAAGTGATTTCTTTATTTGAATAGTAGCTGATATAATATATTATCAATAAATATTGGTGTACAATTTATTTTCTAAGATATGGGAATAAATATAAAAATAGAATTTCGGAGAAAGGAAACGAGACTTAAAAAGAGAATGTCTAAAAGAAAATTATAATAAAAACTAGAAGGGAGAAGGAAAGAATGAAAGCATATTGAGGCATTGATGATTATTCGATGGAAGAGATAAAACTTAGATAGTTATGGCGAATATAGCAAATCTTTGCAGTAAGAAAAGGTTAGGCTGATCCCCCCCCCCTCAATTATTTAAAAAGCATTGAGCTTTGCTACCTATAAGATGGAGAGAATAGAGCAGGCGATGAGTATGAATGAGAATATAGGATCTATGTAACTGTATTTGGCATCTTTTTTATCGAAATTTTTTAATCTAATATTTTTTAAAGGGAGAATGAAAAAATTATCAATGCACTAAGCAGTCAAAAGTCAAAAAAGGTTATGCCTGCATTATACTTACCACTGTAAAATATTTTAATTTAGTCATAATATAAATCATTAATAAAAAAATTGCTGTTATCTAACCGTTAAAATATGGTGCTAATCTAGCATTTATAACTTATTGCAGTATTGAACATATGATAGTTAGTATGTTAAGGCTTATATTTTTCTCAATTTTTTATATACATTCGGAGTCTGCAAAGCAAAACAAATTTTCTAAAAAATTATAATGGTCCGGACCGGACAAAATTACGCACCAGGTCGAACCCGCATTTTATATATAAAAATTTAGTTAGCGAGCCCGGACAATGTATACAAAAAATATCAAGCATGACCTCTCAAATCTAATATTTTTCTAATCGAGCATTAAAATTTGTATATATATTTTTGCGAAATATTTTGATCTTGATTAATACTAATTGAAAATAAACTATAATATGCTTATTTCTTCATATCAGGAGCTGTCTACCTTAAATACCTAAATCTATAAATAAAATAGGAAATTCACGAAAAAAATTTAAAAAGTTAATTATTAATATATAATCTAATTATACAAATACTAATAATGACAGATATCAAAAAACAATTAATTTATAAAACGGCTATTATAGGAATTGATAGCATATAAAAAGAGGTAAAAAGGCTTTAATTGACATTTAAATTAATAGGCATGCATTAAAAATAAGATGGCAGGAAAATACAATATAAACTGTCAGGGCCCTTGACCTTTTGAGAAATTTTGATTGGTCGAGTCGTGAAATTATTTTTTAAAAAATTATCAGGCTTAGATGGGCTAGATAAAGTTTTAAACAAAGGGCTAAGCAGGGCAATTTTTGCAAAATATATTAACGGGCCGGGTTGTGTACATATATCATTTTATTATTTTGAGAGTTCTATCAATAATTAAAAAATATAATTCTATAAATTTTTATAAAAACTTCCTTAAAATTTAAGAATTGTTAAAAGAGCTTTTTTAACCCCATTTAGGTGTTAAAATTTATAGAATCTGAATCTTTATATTTTTTGTTTAAAAATTATATTATATTACCTATGTGATTTATTTGAAATTGTAAAATAAAAAACAGCGTAATATTTTTTAATTTTATAATAAATCCCTAATTTATTTGGATTTACTTTACATACACACAAAAAGGATCTTATTAAAAACAATCTTTAACCAAAAAATTCAATAAATATTTAGTTATCTTTCTAGAACTATTTTCTCTAAAATCATTGATATTTTAAAAAAATAATTCATAATTGCTCATTAAAATGTATCAATTTAAATGTGATTGTAATTTAATTTCTCTCTTTCTTTCTTTTTAAAAAATATTTCTTTTTTAAGTTAAAAACATTATATATAATAAAATTATTATTTTTTAAATGTATGAAATATGAAAGCCAATAAAGAAAATAGTTCTACTAATAAAAATCTAATTCTAGCTAACGTCCCCTCTCCAGGAAATTTTAGTCGTGCAAGTTCACAAGTACCAACATCCTTGGTTGAACAACTATTTACTAGATGTGAGAAAGAAAATTCTTGGGATCAGATGTTCGAAGTTAGATATATTATATTTTTTTACAAAAGTAACGTTTTTTAAATAAGATATATAATAACAATTAAACGTAAAACGTATCGCGATACTTTCTAAATTATAAAAATACTTTATGAGGTAAAATTATGTATATTTATATAAATCGACGGATAGAAATTAAATTTTAAGTTTAAGACCTGTCGCCCATCATCGCTAAACGATAGTATATCTGTATAATTTAATATTATATATTTTGTAAGAGACGCGATAAAGCTTGAGGGATGAGATGATAAACAGGCTATAGTAAACACGTTATGTTCAAGCGGTGCGTTATTTACAAATTCAAGCCAATAAAAGCGTTATTATGATAATGCTATGATAAAATTTTAAAAACATTTTGCGGCCTATATTTCGAAAATTATTAACGCTATGAAGAATCGGCTGTGATTTGGAAAGCGTTAAAATAGCGCAACGCTTAAACTGACGCGTTTACTGTAAATGAAGCCTAATTCATCTCGTCCCATAAATTAACACTACTTATAAAAATTTCTTATTTATTTTCGCGGTGGAGGTCTAACCCTGCATTCACAATACTGTAAATTCATGGCGAAGTGTACAAAATATGATATATTTATGTACCTTGTCGCGAATTTGCGCTAGCTGTGAATTAAGGGTTCCTCATGAAAACCATATTCAATTTTTTGAAAAGATATTCGAAGTGAAAATTAAATTTAAAAATTATGAAGATATTTTTATATAAAATAAGCTTAGTGATTTCGCATGTCAACGAATAAGAAATTGAATTATGATTTTATCATTTTAAATCAACTTTTTTTTAAAAATAATCGATGAAATTTTCTTTGGTAAAACATATATATATAATTCACTTAGAAAAAATAAAAGGTTTTGATAAGTTATTTATACTTTAAATACATATATCATATTGATTTTTATAG